ACACACGTGACCATGTGAGAGTATTTAGAGAGGAAGAGCGGACTCTTCCAACCCTCAACCATAAAAGCGCATTTGGTGACTTAAAGTTATCTTCAAGTTCACCGAAACATATTACCACAGTAGTTCTATCAATTACATTTTTAAAATTAGGTCAAAATTATGACAGTTGTGTAGTATGTTTAGCTGTATTCAACGTCGTACTTTAAAGGTTCAGAATATGTACTGAATTCGTAATATTTAAATTGTTTATTTTTTTAAATAAGACAATTGTTGGATAGAATCGCTGTTAAATTGCATCACAAAACGATTATCGCTCAACTTCGTGGATTAATTGAAGTTAGACATTATCACCGCTAGATGCCGTCAGGCTCAAAGTTCTAATGGTTAAGCTCTCACGAACGAGACTGATAGGTTCGGATTTCGCCAGCTGGGATCGTGGATGAGCACTGCTGAGTCCCATACTAGGATGAAACGACTGTCCAGTGCTTACAGGTTTTCTATGGTGGTGGTCTAGCTTCAACTGACTCATGAATTCAATTATATATTATTCAACTTAGTCAGAGTTCAGTAATACATATTTTTAACTTAAGTCAGATTTATTTTGCAGGATCCTCAGATAATATTCAATGATCAAAGTTTTATGAGAGTTTTATAGTTTATGCTATTTTTAAAAGCAAATTAATCAAGAATTGTAAAATATTTCCGGGTAATCAATTAAATTAATATTAATGGTTGTATGGCATGAAGTGAGTAGCTATGGAAAGGATTTCTATACAATTTGGTGAATGATATAACTTGGTAATTCATTTAGATTTGCAATAAAATAATATCACAAGGGGGTTTTTGTGAAGATCATAGTAATTTAATAGTTGAGTTCATTAGTCATTTAAAGCTGGAACACTATGGGAAACATGGAAGCAATGGACGGCCGTTTCGTCTTAGTATGGAACTCCTCAGTAGTGAGCATCCACGATCTCGCTTGCGGGATTCAAACCCAGAACTTTCGGGTCCTGTTTTAATTGACTCATGAACTCAACTATAAAATAAAATAAAATGAACATCTCATTATAGTACTATTCACGTCTGTGTTGGGGATGTTAAATCCCCGGAACTCACTTGATAAATACCTCAGTTTTGTAATTTTATTTTAAAACTCTGAATCTCTTGTTTTCGCGCCAAAAGCGCTCATTTTTACCTTCATGTCGTATTTCCCACTTGGGATAATCTTAAACGTTTTAGATTCATTGTATCTTTTATTATGCTATTTCGTAACGTTTCCCAAAGACAATTTAATGCTGTATATATACGTTTGATTTGTGCATGTTGTTATTGCTTGTGCTTCTGGCTGCTTGAGGAATATATTTCCCCGTTTCCAACTTGGACTTTTCTCTCTAGTTAGCGGGTCTGGAACGCATCATAATAGCTGGTTTATTGGTCTTTGGTCACAGAGTCTTTGTTCCGTTCGCAGTCTAGATGAACTCGTAATCGCTTCATACATTGCAGTTTGACATCGAGAACCTCTTTTATATATAAAAATGATATGTGTTTGGAAATAACGATAAAATATTCATGTTTATATCACTTTCAAAATAGTCCTCAGTTTTTTCTTTACCGGTTATTCAGATAATTTGAAATTTTACTCAGTATGGAAATTTGTGAAGATTGTAGGATGAAACAATCATCCAGTGCTTCCAGGTTTTCTATGATGGTTGAGCTTAGATCGACTCTTTATTTCAACCGTGAAAATTTAAGATATTTTAAAATTACTTACATACGTTAAATGAAGAATTACTAAACGTCATAGATGATGAGATAGTGCTTTACTTGACGTTTAAGGCATTTATACAGTGCATATCAATGTCCATATATTAGCCTATATCAAAAAACTCTAATGATCGCACGATGCCACAATATGATTAAACTTGAATATTTAGACAACTGAACTCTGGCTTATTAGTTTAAACTCCTCCGATATTCAATATTATAGATTAACTTAAGTTAGAAAAATCATTCCAAACTAGAGAACCCTTTGCAATTTTATCTTCCTATTATGGAACTCTTCAGGGGGGGGGCAGTTGCGTGACAATGCTATGGATTGATATTTATGTTCATGTTCAAATAATCTTGTTCATTTAAGTATTGAATTTAAACGATCATTCAATAGTCAGTAGTAAGTTATTCCAAAGATAGAAAATTTAGCAATAAAACTTTTGAACATAAGTTAGATAAAAGCCAGCACATTAAAAGTTACTTTATCTCCTATATAGTTGTATTTCGATTGAACGCTGTATTAAAAACTGACTGAGATAGTGATGTTGTTAATAGAGATTTCATTAAAAAAATTTTTAGAAGTCAGTGTTACACTCATTAATAGCCAAGTTTTGAATGAAGTTGTACATTTTGTTCTCATTATTATCATTGTGGAAGGTTTGTAACTGTTTAGCGAATCAATTAACAAGTGTAAAATTCCATTTCAAAAGAAGACATTTGGGATTCATTCCTAATTTCCGCTACTGAATGTCTAACTTAAGGCGGATTCAGAGTGTGGTGTAAAAAGTATACAGTGAGTTAATTGAAGTTTCTTTATTTTGCACAGCTGGATATAAAACTCTCAATCAAGATGACCTGTATTTACATCTCTAACTTATGCTCCGATCCTGGATAACTCGAAACATCAATCAGAGACGTACAATAGTCGATCACTGTCAAGTGTTAAAATATCTGATCGTCAGTTATAATTGGTTTGCTATAAGTCTCTCAGTGAATAAACATTGATCCATACATTTGTCAATAAGCTATACTTTATTTTTAAGGACTAGTTATACTATCTAAGCCGTCAACGAGAAATTAATAAATTAAGATCCAGAGCTTTATCCATTGTGATGTAATTATACACTGAAAACAGGTGAACAATTTCCCATACAATGCTAAATTCAATGTAAAGAAAATTCGTCTCCACGTCATCTCTTGTTACAAGGTTAAATGACTTAATTACAAAACTTTTGCGAAGCTCCAATTTTTACATCGATACATTTGCATTTTCATATGAGCATGAATAGTTCCTTGTAAAGTTTGAAAAATATGGACTTTGTTTCAGTATTTTAGATAAACATCCTACTTCAATTTGTTATTTTGATGAAGTAACATCTGTATCTGAAGGGATTTTGTGGAGATTGTAGTAATTTCAATAGTTGAGATCATGAGTCAATTGAAGCTAGGCCACCATGGAAAACCTGGAAGCAGTGTACGGTCGTTTTGTCCTATTGTGGGAGTCCTCATTAGTGCGCATCCACGACCCCGCCTCGCAGGGTCATCCAATATAAAGGAAAGCCCCCAAATTTTCCAAGAAATTTAATTGAAGGACGATTCAGAACTCATGAGTGACTTCTATTAGTATGTACATTCCAAAGTCCCTGTAGGAACCCATAAATTCTATGGTATATGAAGTTTAAACTAGTAATGATATATTAAATTATCACTGTGATCTAACTGACATTGTACAAAGTGAATTACGGAATTCAGATTTAACAGCCAGACAGTTTATTGATAATTGAAGCTTTCAATTCCCTGTTTTATTTCATGTAAGTTTAGAAGTGTAACACTGAAGAACTCTATGCAAGAATAAACTAACTTCTTAATATTCCCTTGACAGCTGCTATTTCTTCAAATGATGTCAGTCCATTCACAAAATTGTACAAATCTTCAAAGAAATCTAACAAAGAATAATTCTCACCATTTTTCTGAATAAGAACCAATAATTTTATACTTCCCCATTCTACTATGTAGCTAAAAATTGATAGTTTATCAACTTAATAGTAATATTGGTAAAATTCTAAGTTGATTGTTAAGATCTATCTTCAAAATTTGTATAAAACAAGTTGAATTCTAACCATTTCCCATGAATAACCAAGTAGATTATCATGACGAATCTGAATCTGAATTGTCTTGGTTGTATATTTCTTGAATATGTGTTTGGATGCTTTTATCCAATCGTAATAAAGTAGAACATAGATGAGGACAACCGATTATATTTAACACAAAATTACAGTTCATTAATTGTCTCAGACTTCATTGTTCTTGCGTTTCCATACCGATTGCTTTCTGTTCCCATTCTTCCCATCGTCGATCTTCTCAACTTTCTACTTTCAGACATTCTATATACTACTTATGCCGTTTTAAGTAGCACACATCACAGTATGAATTAATATTTATGTTCTTAACTGTGAATAGATAAAGAAAGTTTCGGATTTTTGTTATATACTTCATAAAATAATTCATGATCATATCATCAATTGATTTATTTTGAATATAGCCAAAACAATAATCAAAACAGAATATATATGAATTCATCTTATTTTATGACTTTTCATCAACTGTCTGAAACCATATTCGTATTGAAGTGTAACATTGAGTTATGACTTAGTATGGAGTAACCGACATTGATGACGGAAAAACTTCGAATAACAAAGGTTATCAATAATAACTATATATATATATATATATATATATATATATATTCGAAGAAGCAATTTAAAAGATTTAGAGGAGATGAAGCAGTACATGGTAAGATGAATTGTATGATAATTACAAAAGATTTGAAGAGCTTACATAAGTTTAAAAATTGGGTGAAAAAACTATTAGAATAGGAAATTTGTAGAGATTATATAATCTTCATGGTGTAAATTATGAGCCAATCTTAGCTAGATCTCTACTGAAAACCTAGAAGTACTGGGCTGACGTTTCTTCATAGTGTAATACTCTTCAACAGTATGTATCTACGACGGCGAAACCGTCAGTCGAGCTCAAAACCTTCAGTCTTGTGCATGAACACTTAACGTCCAAGTACAACGGTGTTAATGACTAAATCTAACCAATTTACGTTATTACACAGTTTTCATCTATTATTTACAGTAAATAAATGTCTCATACCCGACACATATAGAACTCCACTAGTCACTACTCTGTTTATAATTTCTTTTACTGTTTCATTTTTATTCTAGGCGAACAAGAACGTGTACAGAAGAAAACATTTACCAATTGGTTAAACACATATTTAAGTAATGTAAGTTTATAAATAATTATCACATCTATTTTGTTCATAACTATTCGAAACTATCATATATACTACTGATATATGGATGATATAAATGTCATTGTATATGAGCAAAGATGGATAGTGGCTAGCAGTGGAATCCAGGACGCGCGTTTCGTCCTATTTGGGACCCGTCAACTGGATGTACCTGCATCTCAGAGTTGATGTTCACTCTGAGACTCGAACCCAGTACCATTCGCTTCAAACGCCATTGCATTATCCACTTATCTACTGAGTCCTGATAGCCACTTGCTTGTGCAATGGGGTGAAGTTTAATTCACTTGATATTGTTTTACTTGAATCTTCCCATTGATGTTTAGGACTGCAATTGGTAAGTCTCTTATTGGCATATGTGCATACTGTGCGTATTACCTCGATATTACCTTAATTTACAAGCATTATAAGCAAAGATGGATAGTGGCTAACAGTGGAGGCATACACACAATATGAACATATGCCAATAAGACACTGACCAATTGCAGTCCTAAGCATAAATGGAAAGATTCAAGTAAAACAATATCAAGTGAGTCATTGTATATGTTTCGAAATAATATCCTATATTTCTTATTGTAAAGAATAACTCTGCTGAATTATATTATTGACACTCCAACTGATTATGATTCATTTGTAGTACTATTTTAATACCATTAGTTATATACCAACTCATCTATGAACACCAAGTATACATTTTACACTTTTGTTGTATATAATATCAAATCATTATTGCATAATTAGCATTCAGTGCTCCACTAGTTTAGTATGATTGCGGTATTAAACGTTATGAATAGTAATGATTACTGGATAACCCCTATAATTATTTAGTGTATAGATTATGACTATGATATTTCGTTCTATTATTATTCCCTATTTCTTATTATAATAATAATAATTCCAGAATTCACTCCAGTTTACAGGCATGATCAATTTGATATAAATAGTAACATTAGATGTACAGAACAAACATGTTATATATAAGATAGTTTTAAGTATACTAGTTCAGTAATTGTTTAGGTAGTACATGTATGATAGCAATCCAATGCATCAGCCGGAAACTTTTAATTTTTCTTAAGTAGACAGCCTGTTGATTTATGAACGGTGTAATTAAGGTCATTTCCTGTGCCAGATGGAATTAATGATAATTATCTACAACTAGACAAAGTAAAATGAAAACATAGAGCATGGAACAACAAGGTAATAATTACCAAAATATGTCAATCAAGTCTACTAAAATGCATGTGTCATGTGACACAGTGATATACTGTTAATGTCAGATATTATTCAAATTAGTTAAGGTTGCTAGGGTCAGTGTTAACGTAAAGTGACAGCTGGAAGGTGGTTTTACTTAGAAAATTCACTCATAATAATAACTAAACATTTAAAGTTCCTATAATCTCGTTCGTGGAATAATATAAACTTACAGGTGCAAGAACATTTAATGCATGTTCAGAGGAGCGGTATGCATCAATGCGGCCAACAAATAATAGGAGTGATTTTATCGTACGGATAGATTGTGGTAGGTTATTCCAGGGTTTAAAAAATTTACACGTAAAGTTATTTGTGTAAAGAGATTATTTAGAATGAGTTTGTTTTACTAGTGACAAGGAGTTACGGATATCGTAGAGAGAAGTTTCTGCATATTGAATTACTTGACAGGATGTAAAGGATAGTTTATTATTTTGAAGAAAAAGATAAGATTTAGTTTGAGTCTCCTCTTCCATAAAGGGTCGAGCCCAAGTTTATCACATTTAGAATTATAAGTCAAGGTACAATCAGTTCCAAGAATACAAAATGTAAATCGTCTCTGTATTGATTCCAGCCTTAATTTATCTTTTATCCTCTCATTACTAAGAATGAACGTACAGTATTCTAGGAGTGGTCGAACGCAAACCTTGTACATTAAAATATGTAACTCATTGTTATAAGGGTTTCGAGTTATGCATTCAATTATTGATTTAGGTTGTTTATCAAATTATTATAATCTCACTTTAGGCAAATCCACCATTTAAAGTTCAAGATTTATTTGAAGATATCAAGAATGGAATAGTGTTAATAAGAATATTAGAAGTTTTATCAGGAGAGAAACTAGTAAGCTTATTTTTTATTTGACAATGTAATATATGATTTCTTACTTTGGTTATTTTCAATAGATCATCACTAGTAGTGAAATATGGATATGAATATAACATCCACTATAAATATATTGTAGTAGAACATTCAGGTTCATATCAGGGATCAAATATAAGCTAAGGGCTAATGAAGAACCTGAATTAAATTGTTAAGTTGGTGTTGAAATACAATGGTAATTGTAGATTCTTTACATTTTCGGTATATTTTGTTTAGTTCATTCTTATTAATGTCAGAAGACAAAGTTTGTCCTGGATCTGAATTCATTACACCCTATACACAACTATTAGGAATTTTCAAATTAAGAAAGGGAGAAGGTTGAATGCTTTGCACTGTTTGGTTTCAAATAAAGTAAACCATCCACTAAGATTAGTTCATCCACACAGAACTATAACTCAAAAAATCTAGTAGAAAGGCCTTTATATCACTAGTCAACAGATTAAAATGTTTAAATTTATTTGAAATCATGAATCAGTCTAAGTTAGAAAGCATTAGACGGCCGTTTCGTCCCAGTATGGCACTTTTTATCAGTGCCCATCCATAATCGCACAAACAGGACTCAAATACAGATTCTTAAACCTCGGACGAACACTTAACTTCTAGACCACTGAGCCGTCATCCAACGGTGCTAATATCTAACATCAAACAATCCTCTAAATTGAGCGATTATGCACCATTCTTTTCAGTGGATAACTATTTCAATCCGACTAAGTTATTTCTAATAAGTTTAATTAACATCATTTAAACCATAGTATTCACAATTAAAGTTAAATACCGGGTAGCAAATAATGCATCGAATACTTCAGAGGTTTTGTATGCTGGAGATTAATGTTATTGACGCAGATTGATTTAAACACAAAGAATGATTGAGAGATCAAATAGTTTTCAATAACTTTGTCACCAGGCTCTAAATTTATCAGTTCATAATTCTTTTGCTACAATAACGTAAATAAGACTTATATTTTATGTTAAAAATAGTTAATGTTTACATAGCTTATGGTTTAAATACGGTAATTGAACCACAGAACTGAGTTGTACTGTTTAATTTGTAAAGAGCCTAAATGGTGTCTGATTCTCTTGAAAATTAATGTAAAATTACCCTCTTGTACGGTATATTTATAATAATCATTCATTTGAATGAAAATAGTCTGTTATTAATCAAAATCTCACTTTAAATGACGTTTATCAGGTTAAGATTCTTTAAAATTATGAATCTTTTTAGGAAAGTTGCTCTGTTTTAGTGTTCTATATGAAACACAAAACTTTCGAACAGTTAAACTATGTTAAAGTAAACCATAATGTATACTCAATACAAAATTACAATATTTTACCTGTTTGAGGTAGATAACTATCTCTACCTGATATGGATTAGCTCCATTATTCACGGCTTCACACCAGAACTCCGAGAATTCTCTCATGAACCCAGTCACTAATGAGCACATGATAATTTTCTGTATGGGGTTGTGATGATTGTTAAGTTTTTAATTCTAATCTCCACAATCCCATACTGATATATTTGCTTTGTTAAATCTTATACATTATTGTTCTTAACTTGATCGAATAAACTTTGGTTGTTTAATTCAACCTGTCACATTATAAATGAATAGATGATATAAATCAATGAAAAAACTTTATGTGATCAACATTTGTACTTTCTATAAATCTTCTTTTTATTATTATTATTGTTATTATTATTATTAGTTATTTGATTAACAGTTAGTTGGACATTGTGATCATTATGAATAAATGTTCTTTCAATAACAAAAGAAAACGGTAATATGATCGGATATTCATTTCAACATAAAGACACATATGATATATATTTATAGCCATGATGAATTAAGTCAACAATAAAACGTTTGATTTAAAAGAAAATAAATATTAGTGATAAATTCCTGTGAGATATGGAATGATATCAGAAGGGGTCCTGTGGATATTATAGTAATTTTAATAGTTGCGATCCACGATCGTGCACGCACGCTGCTGAGGAATCCCACAGTAGGACGAAACGGCCATCCAGTGCTTCCAGGTTTTCCATGATGATCTACCTTCGATTGACTCATGATCTCAACTATTGAGATATGGAATTGTTTTACTAAAAGTCCTATACAAACAGAGATAAATGTATGTAGTTGATCAGTTGTGTTACCTCATTCTCTTCCTATTTAATTAAATATTTGACTTATGTGATTCAGTATAAACAAGATGTATTTCAAGAGAAACTGAGATAACATCTATCAAATTGAAAAATATATGAAGTGTTATATCTCGGTGAGAATAATGAATAGTGACTGTCGGAATCTATTTCTGGACCAATACTATACGCATATTTTTTATCGTATAATTGCTAAGCTTTATCTTGATTTATAGACTATTATTATACGATTTACCGTTCTTGAGTTCTGCCCAGTCTATTGATTACAGTCTCCCACATTCAAAGGAACGTTTGGCTTGATCTTGTTCAAATGTTGTTTTCTATTTATGATGTGAGGTGGTCTGTTTGGTTTGCATATAAACCCATTATGTTTGAAATATATGATTCATATCACAGAGGCTGGACATAACAGGCAGGGTTAGGTGGGAAGCAGGACCGTTAAGGACTCTAGACTGCTCGTACGGGTTTTATGTGTCACTGGTCCAGTCAATCATTCACTGTTCTCTAACTGGCGGTATCATGACGTTAGGCATTAGTAGGGTACAAGGCCACAAGTTATAACATGTAGTTTATATATGAAAATGTTACATTTGAAACTCTTATCACCTTCTTCTGCATTCACATTTCAGGTTATTATAAAAAAATTTCCAAACCAAGACAAGTTTAAAGATATATAGCATCGAACATTGAGTGAATTATTAGATACATCGAACAGTTTCTACTTCATTAAGATCATGAATTTATCTAAGTTAGGTCACCATTAAAAACCTGGAAGCACAATGATTCTAGATTTTCCATAGTGATCGAACTTATATAGGTTCAAGATTTCAATGAAATTCAATAATTTCCACAACCCTATATTGTGTAGGGTTTGAATTTCATTAGTTCTTATGCATTATCAAACCTAAAAGCGAAGGTCACTTTATTTTCTGTGGTCTTAGGTTAACACAAACGTCATGAAATTCAAAGCTCCGAGTTACGGATGCTTGATGTTATGGAATATGAAAGTACCGTAAAACAACTATCCAATGCTTTTCTATTTTTTATGTAACCTTTATTTAGTATTAGTACATGAAGAAAACTATCTTCAGATGTATCATACATTACAAAATAAAAGTAACCAGGAAAAATCAACTCTTCAGTGTAATTTGAACTAGATGTATTTTTTATATGATGACAAAGTTTAATTACTTTTCACTTCTTATTCTTAGACACTTTACTGTAGAAATGTTTTACTGAGATGTACAATATCTTTTCTTATCCGAATCGTTTAAAATCCTTTTAATGATTTACATTGAAGAAACAAAAACATCAATATTTACTTCCAAAAATTTGACTTCATGTTATATTGGTTAGTATGGAACTCCTTAGTAATGTGCAATCACGATTCCACATGCAGGACTCGAATCCAGTACTGAGATGTTCCATATTAGGATGAAACGTCCGTCCAGTGCTTCTAGGTTTTCAATGGTGGACTAGCTTACATCAACCCATGAATTCAACTATTAAAATTCTACAATCTTCACAAGCACCCATTCTAATAATCATATCGGTTAGTCAAATGGTAAGACTGGATTTTATTTATTGACTGGACAGGTAGTCCATGAAAAAGCTATTAACAACTAATAATAACAGTCATTATTCTGTTTAGAAATAATTGTATATGAAATGGATCATCTACAAATTACTGGTTGTTGATTAATAATGGTATGACTGGTTTAGTGTTAATATACAGTGATTATATAAATCTCAATTGGCAACTTATAACATGCAAACGTCCACCTATTATATTTTTCCATTGCATATTGAACTTCTTAATTGTGTTTTCAACATTCTTCCTCTCTACAAAGCGTGCAGAAAGTCGGGGTCAAATGAATCGGATACATTGTCTATCGAACATTAAAACTGCATTGGAATTTTTACATTCTAGGAATGTAAGTGGAAATTCATTACAACATAGTGAACATTCAGGTTATATCTATTTTTTGTAAAGATTTTAAAAAAGTCGTTTAATTAAGAGATGATATCATGCTTATCATCATTATATTCAGTCAGCCAGTTATAACGTAGGATCAGGCACATATATGCATCGGTTCAAGTTGCCACACCTCATTAGCACAACAAGATGAACACCAAATTCATAGTAGTTACTTCAATGATAGTAACATATAAAAGAAAGATTACATATAAGGATATGATACAGGAAGAAAGAATTAGTTAGTAGAAAGAAAGGTATAAAGCCATTTTAATCTCACGGTTTAAGGGACGACAAAGAGTGCATATACCGACGCCATTGTGGTCGGTTCTGAGCCATGTCACCAAGAGTCTCCAACCACCTGTTACGATAGTCACGTGGACCCCAACTACGTAGTCTGCATCTACCTACATGGCTCATTGCGCCTCACTATTACTTACAATACTAATTAAAAATCAGATTACACTGTCCATCTATCCTCTTATTATGTATTAGTTGTGTTTCTAATTGTGGGGTCATGAACTTACGCTTGGTCATTAAAACCAATTTGAATGAGAAGATATGACAGTTAAAGATATTTCCTTGGTAATGATGGTGCTTGCAATTCATATATATATATATATATATATATATATATATATATATATATATATATATATATATATATATATATATATATATATATATATATATATATATATATGTCTGGATCAACCCAGTCAAGAACATTTAAGTGGGACTACTTTGGTGAGGCTATTAGCCTACTTTCACTCTAAAGCAATCTTACTTACTATGCCAGCATGTGACATGCTGTGATCTGTCAGGTTTCGCTCAGTATACAACGTATTCTTGTGAGAGTTAAAGTGACAAAAGTCAGCTGAATAACAACCAATATGGAATGTTCTAACTATCAGAACCAATACAGAGCTAGAGGCACATTTGTATTTGTAACCAAATTCTTCATCACAATCGTATTATTGGTTCGCTAAATGCAAGCCATTTACAGTACAATGATTAAATGTTACTGTGCATTTAGAGTATTAAGAACCGCTACCCATATAATCTCATCCGGAAATACCTAAGAATTAAAAAGTATAGAGCTAATTATAAAAACTACCGAACAGATAATTGTAACAGACTGTAGGTACACTAATTAATTACTTGATAAAAATGACTGCCGTGATGTTTAGATCTTATCGATCAACTTGAAATGTGGTCACTGGTTTGAGTAAGTCAACAGTCACCGTGTTGGTTATCAAAGACTACCCAGTTTGTATCAATCAGAATGAAGTATATACATTGATTTTATTCCTGTAATCTTTCTTTTGTGACTGCATAGTGAACTATTTCTTTTTGAATTTTCTTTTAATAACATATCAATCACAAATAGGTTAAATTAGTCAATGTCAATCCGACTGATATTGCTGACGGGAAACCAGCTATTGTTCTTGGTCTCATATGGGTTATTATACTATATTTCCAAGTAAGTTGACAAATTTACAATCAGCTAATTTATGAATTTTGTCATTTTGTTTTACTTCTCTTCTTCTTTTACTTCAAATTTACAACAACAACAACAAAAAACTGTAATTCTCCATCACTGAGTTAGTCAGGTTTCATACAGTTATGTTTTTACTTGACATTCATATCATGACTAGGTAGAATAAATTTTCGTTAAACTGTAATTATGTTTTCGTTCAAGTAATCAATATTAAGCTGAATATACTAGGCAACTAGTCAGAAATTTGAGGAACATTAGTGACCCGTGATCTGATTCCAATTAGACCGTATGAATGATTGTTGTCAAAGTGTACATCCTGGCTATCCTCGTATATAATTATCGGCTTAGATCGCATTAGTGAATAACGGAATTCAATAAGTCAAATACAAGAATAAAGTTTTGAATCCATACATTTTGTACACTCGTTGTTTGGAACAGACAATCAGAGAACCACAGCGAATGAAGCAAAGAAGAGAGAGCAAAGCGAAAAGAAATGACACGCGGTGGAGAAGGAGTGGGAACCAACTCCATTTAATCAAGCGTTAGTCAATATTTATAGTCACACAAAAATAAGCTACAGACATGTGACGAATAGAATAAGCAATTAACACATATACCTTCATATAAAAACAGTCAATGTTGATAAGTGAATAATTAACAAGATTAAAATATGACTCAAGAAGAATGGATAAATTGGCCTGTCTAGAAGCTAGAATAAGTTATATGGGGTTAACATAGTAACTGATGCTACAAACATATGTCGATCTTTGGGTGTAACAACTAGTTCTGTACAAACATTGACAAAATGCCTTGCTAGTTCTCTGATTGTCTTTTTTTATTTTTCAAGTATCTGAATTCATATTCTGTAAAGAACATTCGGCGGGACTATAATTTATGGACGAACCAATCAGGTATATGATAACAGATCTCAGATTTGGACGCGGAATTCACTGATCTATTTGGCTAAGTAGAGTTTTGGCATTATAGCTGACGTCAGTTCGAGATAAAAACTCGAAATCTAATTTATAACCTTAATTATCAACTGCAAATCATAAATCTAATTCCTCAAACAGGTTCATAACCCTCATTTAGTCCCGGTTATTTGGTGGACACTTTCAGGGTCGTTCATAAATTATAGTCTCACCGAACATTCAAGTATTCATTTACTGAACACCTAGCTCTTGCCTTTCTTATTGGTTAAGTATTTAAAATCATCGGTAAATTGGCTTTTAAATCACATTTCTTAGGGTATCGTATAAAGTTTTATTAAATTAAAGAAACTAAAATTAATAGTCGTCTAATTAGTCACTGTAAAAGGTACATTAAAGTTAAAATAAGTTGATTATGTAATCTAGATTCAGATTCATAATATTTAGCGAATAGAGATTCCTGAGTTACTGTTATCATACATGTGTAGTAGATATTCTATTTGAATGGTTTTTGGAAACAAAACTTTATTAAAACTGTCGTATTGGAAAAGCATATCCCGATAATTGAGACTTCTCCTGATGTGATATCGTGGCTAATAGAAACTAGTCAGATAGTAAGATACGTACCATCAGTAATAATATATGTTTGTTGTGCAAGATTATAGATTGGTTTAATTAAGAAATTTTAATTGTTTGAATTTTAATCAATTGTCGCAAGTATAAAAGTGCTGGAAGTGGTTATTGGTGCTGTCATAAGAACGTAATCTTGGGAAGATTAATACTCAGATGAAACAGACTTTTAATGCCCCCTGATTTTTAATGACTATCTAACAATAGTCGATATGCAAAATAAACTATCTTATCCTAACAAGTATTAAAATGTATTATGTGTTTACATGTCATCTACTGTAGATAAAATGTATTTGAATCATAACCAGTTAAATTATTTTTGTCTGCTATAACTGTTCAACAAAAAATATATCTAGTTGAGATCATCAAACGATCAATATTAGACCATCATTAGAAACCTGGAAGCACTGGACGGTCGTTTCGACCTATTATGGGACCTCTCAACAGAGTACATTCAAGATCCCATACCCGAGACTTAAACATAGGATCTTCAGTCTCCCACACAAACGCTCAACCTCACGACCACGTGCGGGACTTGAGGCCTTTGATTCGAGTACCTCATGCGGGGTCGTATATGTGCACCTCTGAGCAGTCCCACATTAGGACTAAACGGCTGTCATGTTCTTCCAAGTTTTCAATGGTGGTCTACCGTTTATCGGTTTACGATCTCAATTAAAACTCAACGATCTGTACAACTCTACACTAATGAAAAATATATCTAATTACAATTTATTGTCAACTTTTATATATGTTTTACTTATATTAAGATTGAGGAACAAGAAGAGTTACTACTGAAAATTTTGGATCTTCCACCTGGTTCACTTAGAGCGAGAGGTTCAGCTAAACGTGCTCTACAAACCTGGGTTCAAGAAATTTTCGCTGGGTAGGTTTTAATGAGACGTTTAAGATCTTTATTAAGAATGATTTTCTTTCAAAATTATAAAACTTTCACATATAATTTTCAAATTTGCTGCAAAAAGATAGACAGTTAGATTAAGTCTGATACAATGAAGAAATTGAGTGGTTACAGATAACCTAATAATAAATCAAACCATGTCTAAATATATTAATTTTTTGAGTTTGCTTCACAATAATCAGTTGTACAATATATGACGGATCAGTAGGGGTACCTAGAACGTTAAAGGAGCTGATGCTACGTGCGAGATTTGAAAGTGTTTCGGATTCTGAAATATTATAAATGAGTCATTCAAGCGGCGATTAACCCACGATAAGATTGAGTTTTATATATACTTAAATTATCACTGAGGTGAACATTGTCAAGTTTGTCTAGTCCTTTTGTATCTTTCGAATTATACTGATTTCTATACTATACGTATATATATATATATATATATATATATATATATATATATAGTGATTTCAACAGTTCGTGTAAACAGCAATCGGGGCAATTAAAATGGACTGTTTTCTTGTGATTTTGATGTTTATCTACCAAATCATAATTGTGTTATCTGTATGAAATAACAGATTAAATTTTGTTATAAAATATATTGTCTTAAATGATATTCAAATCCTAATAATAGATCTCTGTTTCTCGATGATAATTCTGGTTTTTGAAAGATCTATATATTTTTATAAGACCAGCTGGAATGTTTATCAAAAAGCCTGTGTTTTATTACTGATAACTTCATTTACTTACTTACTTTACTTACGCCTGTTGCTCCTCGTGGAAGAGCATAGACCGCTTACTAGCATTCTCCATCCAAAACTGTCCTGGGCAATCCTTTCCAGCTCTTTCTAGTTCTTATTCATTCTTTTCAAACCTGATTCTATTTTCCGACGTAATGTGTTCTTTGGTCTTCCACTTTTCCGCTTCCCTTCAGCATTCCAAGTTAAAGCTTGCCTCGTAATGCAGTTTGATAATTTTCTCAATGTATGTCCTATCCACCTCCAATGTCTTATCCTAACTTCCTCTTCAGCCAAAAGCTGGTTTGTTTTTTTCTACAGTAAGCTGTTGCCGATGGTATCCGATCAATGGATGTTGAGTATCTTGCGTAGACAACTATTCATAAATACTTGTACCTTCTTGATGGTGGTTGTAGTAGTTCTCCAAGTTTCAGCTCCGTACAGTAGAACTGACTGCCTTGACGTTGGTATTGAAGATTCTGACTTTGATATTGGTTGAAAGTGTTTTGAGTTCCATATGCTCGTCGATTGAAGGAATGCTGTCCTTGCTTTGCCAATCCTCGCCTTTACGTCTGCATCTGAACCTCCTTGTTTATCGACGATGCTTCCCAGGTATGTGAAGGATTCCACATCTTCCGGAGTTTCGCCATCAAGAGTGATTGGATTGCTGTTCTCCGTGTTGTATTTGAGGACCTTGGTTTTCCCCTTGTGTATGTTGAGGCCTACTGATGCAGAGACTGCTGCTACGCTGGCTGTCTTTATCTGCATTTATTCGTGTGTATGCGATAGGAGGGCTAGGTGATCTGCGAAGTCCAAATCGTCTAATTGGTTCTGAGCTGTTCATTGTATTCCGTGTTTACCCTCAGATGTCGAGGTTTTCATAATCCAGTCGACCACCAAAAGAAAGAGGAAGGGAGAGACTAGGCAGCCTTGTCTGACTCCGGTGATAATCACATATGAACCATTAATTATTGTAGCTCATTTGTCAAGTAGAGGTTTAATTATTTAACTTTGAGCTACATATCTTTTCAGTGAATGCTAATGATACTATATCGAAACTTAGGCTAAATTAGGGGAAATGGAGTTTGAATGTCAACTGATGAATAATTCAAAGTAATATATATATATATATATATATATATATATATATATATATATATTAAGTGGAAATTACAAATCCTCTTGAAAGATGGTAAATTTTACTTCTCTCAATATTTACCACTTTTTTTAGTTCTTTCAGAAAAAAGGGATTGTGAGTATGAATTACTGTATTATTTGTCCTTTGAGTGTGTTTGTTTTTACTATTTAAAATGAACAGTTTTGGCTTATGATTCACATGATTTTATTACACAATCAACAGTATAAAGAAAATATGTTGACGGTCATTTTTATTTTACAGAAAATGAAACAATGAATGATTGTAAATTGCACAGAAGCTTTATTTATTTAAACACAGAGATATTGGTACAAGTGGGCACCGAATACATATGCGCCATATAAGTCACTTGATTCGTGTGTGGGCTATGATAATGCTCGGGTGCCCAAACCGAAGCAAGTGGTTTTCTTAGAGGACCACACCCGGAGTCTTCGACCTAAAAGTTTGATCCATAAGGTAGTGGAGCAACCTCAGGAGATACAGTCCAATGTTTGCCATTGACCAATAATTAAGTCATAGGCCATTTGTTCCTTCAGAATACTAGAACCCATGTGCACTGTTGGTTTGGAATCGTGGTTTATCAACGCCCCTAGGTGGACTCTCCATTTCCACCAACCTAGTTAAAGCACCGAACATTCGCTTTTCGTCCTCTCAATTTCGTAAAGAACAGTAATGCCATGAGAAGACAGTGAATAGTACTTCTGTGGCAGTGACTATATACGCATGACCATGTGAGAGCATTCGGAGAGGAAGAGCTGACTCTCCCCACCCTTCGGCCGTACCAGGGCATTTGAGGGCTTAGATCAAATTGTTTTTTATAAATTTTTGAACTACACTATTTATGTAAATAAATAAATGCCACAAGGGATTGTTTTTCTGTGCTTTACACCTTCATGTTTTACCTTTTAAATTTTTATCACCACATCTACGTAATATAACTATCTAGAATCCCCATAATTGGTGTATAAAGAAATAAGAGAGAAGCTAAATAACATATTATAAACCTCATATCTAAAACAATGATTTTGTACTCCATATTGAACAGTTTCGAAATGGATTTGCAAGGATCTAGTGAGATATTAGGACGTGTATAATGTAAATAGATCACCGGTTAAACGTATCAATAAAAATGAATGTGAATCGAATTGTACTATAAATGAACTGTCGTTAGAAGTGTAAACACTTAAATTCTAAGTCAACACTTTCAAGGTATTGTCTACGCTGTGAGATCTAAAGTCTATAGATATGATAGAACAGGGATTGGTTAATGTTTATTACTGACAGATTCAAGATTAAAATGAAATATCCTTTTAATACTTCGTGATTTTCATTGTAGAACAGATATGTGAATAAGGGTAAGTTCATTTGTATTCTATACAGATCCTATTCTTCGGTTAAAAGTAGAGAAATACACTGAAATGCTTGAGTTATTTTGATAGGACCATATTGTTATTACAGCATCTCTTTAGAATTTCCATTAGTATCTTCCTTATTCCTATAAAAAAAACTTCATTGTTCTTTCGTTTTCACACTAATCATTCTTTGTTCTCGTTCTATTTTCTTTGATCTTCTTAACCTTTTGATGCCAGGTATTTCACTTTCGATTGATGATACATACTACTTATATCTGTCAACATCAGTAGAACACACCATAGTTGGGTTTATAGAGGAGTTCATTTTAGAAGTTGATATCTATTATGCACTCATTAATTGTTGATAATGTTTTATATAATTTATTGTTAGTCTGGGTCTACAGATTATAATATGACGTTTCTATTATGTTATTATACCTTATGTAACCATGTATATTCAGAAAATACGATGTCCAGATTCGTGATTTTGGTCCAAGTTGGCGTGATGGAATAGCATTCAATGCTATGGTGCATAATATTGACTCCAGACTTGTTGAAATGGACAAAGTAAAGACTAGAACACCAAAAGAAAATTTAGAATACGCATTTACTCAAGCTGAAAAACATCTGGGTATACCAAGACTTTTAGATCCTGAAGGTTAGTGTTTCGATTAATTTGAATTAAAAAGAAACACAATGAACACAATGAAAGTCTTTATAAACAGTAATAATGCAATTTTACTTTACCTCAATGAACTTTAGAGCAAACTAAAAAGAGAACGACTTCATTTATTGTCATAAATATGAATAAAGTAGATAGTAGAGGGAATGTGTATAGAAAATATCTGCATAGCATTTTACATTCTTTAATAATAACAAAGTTGAAAAAGACTGAGTCATTGTTATCTTATACTAGATGAATTCATTATAGCTTAACTTCAGTTGAGATATCACTGAAAGCCACGAAGCACTGGACAGTTTGTTTCATGTTAGTACGCGTCACCTAAACAAAGCGTACATACGTCTTCACTAGGAGTTGAACTTATGATATCCTGATACCATGATAAACAATTAAACATTAGATGCACTGGGTAGGAATTCAAATGTAGAATTCCTAATCTAATCAATTTATATAAGCTTATTTTACATACATTTACTGCTTAGCTATAATAAACGTCTCCGGACATTATGATAAATCTGTATAAAATCAAATGAAACTTTGTATTTCATATACTGAATAACAGTCTTGATTAATTTTAGATGTCGACGTTGACAGACCAGATGAAAAGTCAATTGTAACATATGTTGCTCAATTTTTCAAAGCTTATCCAGATGCAGGAAGACGAAGACCTGATTCAGTAAGTAATATTTACTTATCAGTGTGGAGTTGTGAAGATTGATAAGTTTTTAAGTGATATTATGCATCGATGAATGTTAGACTACCATTGAAAACTTGAAAGAACTGGACTTATATTGAACTCTTCAGAAGTGTGCATCCACGATCCCATACACAAGATTCGAACCCAAGATCTTCGTTCTCGGGAGCGAATACCTAACCGAAGGTTCTGAGTTTGAATCCTTGAAAATTGTTGGGTTTGAAGCTTAACGAGTTCACTTAAATTTGCGAACGAGAACGGGATTCGATGACCAAGACCAGTAAGCTAACTATTGATGCGTCCCAGCCCCAGCTATCTAGAGGGAGAAGTCCAGGCTTGAAATGAAAACTATATTCTGCAACAACTAGAAACGAGCGATTCAACCAAAACAATTTAAAACATATATATACAAATATATATAATCGATATTGTCACTTAAATTTTTAAACATTCGTCAAAAAGTTCGTCAATTGATTGCTATTCAAATATTTAAACATTTAATCGATAAGTTAATCGATAAAATTACAAATGTGAGTTTTGGGGAATTTATCGTCCCCAACAAAAATAATAAAAAAGAACTTGTTAATTATAAATTAGTTAAACTTTGATGAATAAATTCTAAAGTAATAAGTTGTATAACATGATAAAAGAAATTTAGCTATAGGTATCTAACCAAGCCGAATTTTATGTTGGTAATACCTGTTTTAGTTACCCAAACTTATTTTGAAATGAACATTAATACGTTTATATCAGCTGTTGATAGATTCACATGTTATAAAAGTGTGAGGAAAAGTAACTGTACTTTTTATAACAATCTAACTCCTAATTGCCATGAGAAGCTGAAAGAGAACAATGAAGAACAATGAATAAAACCTAACTAATTAGTAAAAAAATTTCGCAATGTTAATTGTTTTGTGATTATTAACAAGCCAGAAAATGAATCAGTCTAAATGGGTAAGTTTTTCATGAATATGTAGTAAACAAATTAGTTGAATATTCATCTTGAATCAAAGGAAATATGGAGTATGCGTTTTTCAATAAGAGCTATCATTTTTGACGAACTGAAAAAAGGCATTTGAGTAGTTTTGTCATGTATGTGAATCTGGTGTGATTATCGACATTACTTACTTACTTACGCCTGTTACTCCCAATAGAACTTAGGCCGCCAAACAACCAGGTCCTGGGCCTTCCTTTCCAGTTCTATTCAATTGTTGTCTGTCTCCAATTCTCAGAGTAATGTGTTATTTGGTATTTCTCTCTTCCTTTAGCATTGAGGATTCCAAGTGAGGGCATGTCTTGTGACGCAGTTCGGTGCTCTTCTCATTATGTATCCTATCCACTTCCAGTGATTCTTACTGATTTCTTCCTCCTTCCACCCTGGAATCTCGTTTGTTCTCTCCCACAGTAGTTTATTGCTGAATTTCGTAGTTCTCCAGATTTTCACCCCATACATTAAAACTGTCTTGATTTTTGTTTTGAAAATTCTGACATTGGTGTTGGTTGACAAAAATTTGTTTTGAGCTCCAGATATTCTTCAATTGTAAATATGCTGCTCTTGCTTTATCATTCCGCGCCTTTACATATGCATCAGATCCACCGTGTTCATCAATGATGCTGCTCAGATATGTAAAGGTATTTACATCTTCCAAATCTTCTCCGTCGAGTGTGATTTGATTGGTGCATGTTGTGTCGTATAGGAGAATCTTGCTTTTCCCTTTGTGTATGTGATTATCGATAAGTTATTGACTAAATAAGGTATCAAGATAAAAACATTCATTAACAGTTGTATGATATACGATTTGAAATAGATGTTAGTTATGGTTAATAGTACTTCGCTTACTTGATTAAACTGAAAAAGAGCTGGATTCTCATGGAAAGCCTTAAATAAAATAAAATCAATGTAGTTTACATAAGCAGTCAAGTTAATTCATCTAGTATCGTTATAAGTTTAATGTCATTTACCCCATATCCAATGATGTTAATGTCTAACTTCAACTAATCCACGAAATTGAGTGACACATCCACGATTGTCTTAACCTGTCTGAGATTATTAATTCCAATGGACACAACAGACATATCACATCATAGTAGTCATGTAGCCTACTGGCGCATGAATTTTAATACAGTTATTAAAAAATATGACGTAACTTAACAAGTAATCAGGTGGAAAATTTTTACATCATAAGTTATGAATCAAATACAAGTGAGATAAGCAGATAATTATATTCAGTTATATAATTTGGATAAACGGAATACACCCATTGAAACATTAAATAAGAAAGATTAGTTCAGCGAAGAGTTCTCTTTTCGGCGAATTCATTTTCAAAGCTGTACAACTGCAAATATATATACTTATTTTTACAGGATGATAATAGTACTGATAATAAACTTGTTATACATGGTGACAGTGGGGTTAAATAAACAAAGGTATTAAAATTTTTTTTAAAACAAGGAAAGTTTAATGATCGTTTGATTGTTAATAGCTTAAGTATTCATCAAAAGATAGATAGGGAAATTATCATTGGAAAAGGATGGTTCAGCATGATAAGATAAAATGTTGAAATTGAGATGAAATGTAATCAGAATGATCATGGAAATAAAAACGAACCAGTTGGGGGTAGAAGATTTAAGGGGAAGGTGGAAGGTGAAGCAGATGGCTGTAAAGGAACAAGAGAAAAATCTTAATACATTAAGACCATGGTAGAAGAAGAGATTGTACCAGTCTCTTTTGCACACACAATTCTGGTTTTTCCAGATGTATGGTTATTGCTTCGGCAATGCAAAGAAGATGCAGTCTAATTGCCTTAGGAAGACTTCTACTTACCTTGTAGATGACTTTGAACACAGAGTCTGTCTTGATTGAGTGAGCTGTATTTACAAGGTGTTTGATTATAGAACTTCTTATTGAGCCGTTACCTCACCTTTTTGCCACGCCGGACAATGTTCTTGAATTCTTTTAGATAAAGTACGCATCGAACAACCTATATACCTAGCTCCACATGGGCAGGTTAATTGGTAAATGCACATTGAGTTGGTCAGATGCGATAATTTATCTTTCAGGTTAATGGTGAACAATGATCGGCTGGAGAATAATATTCGTGATGTTGCTGCGAAGAATGTTCTTTTCAAAGGATCGGAAATTCTCCTGTTTAAGATATATGTGGCTCTATCACCTCTGAAGTCAATGTTCATGTATAAAGTTTTATTTTCTACTGTAATTATTTGCGTTTTCAGCGTTTTCGGCCTCATAATCTTATCAATGAATGTCGAAGGATACCCGTTTTTGATAAGTATCTCCTTTAAAAGGCCTGTAGATCACCAGCGTAGATGATCTATGTCGAGTGATCGGAAGCCTACTCGAGTTAGACGGGAATGGTGTGACAAACTAGCTAACGTCGAAGTCACACTTCGCGGTCAGCGCCTTACGTGGATTACCCCATTGACGTATCAAGGTACTATAGATGCTTTGAAGACTGTACAACACAGAGGACGTTATTACAGAAATATATTAGTTAAAGTAGATACAAGCGAAGGTGAGACCACTGCCGAATGGGCCAGTACATGGCGTACGATTAAATGAAGCGCATTGGTGGTCCTTGACCTTGACGAGGATCGATGATTTGTTCGATATTCAATGACCCAACTGCCGGATGATTTGGCTAGAGCTCAGGGGAATTTCACTGGCCCTACAGGCCCGATTCTTCATCTACGACTTCAGGGCTACAGATTCTTTGTATTCTTGTAGCAAGTGTTATTATTAAGTTTCTTTTTCTGCTGATGGGAACCCAGCTGTGGAAACAATCAAACGATTAATAAACTTTCCTTGTTTTAAAAAAAATTTTAATACCTTTGTTTATTTAACCCCACTGTCACCATGTATAACAAGTTTATTATCAGTACTATTATCATCCTGTAAAAATAAGTATATATATTTGCAGTTGTACAGCTTTGAAAATGAATTCGCCGAAAAGAGAACTCTTCGCTGAACTAATCTTTCTTATATAATTTTGAGTAAATAACGTAGAATACAAACTGCTTGGGTATGACAAATACATCATTTTCCACCACATTATAAGAAAAATGGAGGTTTTTATAACAGTTACTATATTTCAGCTTTTTTCATCCAACTTTTCTGAAATACACTGACTATTTCATCGAGGAAATAATTATAAATTCTCGTTACTTACTGAATTATATTTCATTAGTATAAAACTTCATATAGAAATTGTATCCATTTTCTGTAGAATAAATCAATCTTTACATCATCTTTTTTTTGTTTATTTTAATACATAATGCTAAAGCCTACCAAAACGAATGTCAAACTGAAACTTGATAATCTAATGAAATTTATTCGAGAATCTGAGTTGAAAGTGAAAACAGCTCGATCGGGGCGTACTAATTTAAATGAACAATATCAGGTAACTTTAAATTTATTTTATCCCTGAAATATCGAAACTATGATCACTTTAATTAATCCTGATGAGTGAGCGAGAATGATAATGATTGGTTGTGTGTTTAGTCAAACATGTAGATAGTCTGACAGGTGTCAGATGAGTTATATATTCCCCGATCTTTATTATTATTATTATTATTATTATTACTCACGTATTATTGATTATTCATTGTTGTTGGAGGTAATCTAGTGCAGATATTTGTTTAAGGTAAATTAACGTCTCATACGTGTAAACGTGGAAAACCAACTGTTATAACATTAGACGAAGTAAAACTGAGCGTCATAACAAATCTGTAACTCATTTATCATTTTAATATGGAATTTCAAAAGTAATTATTAGTTTATTTTGAACTGAAATGTTTAATAACTATAGGTAATAAACAACACCGACAGTTATCATTTCCATCGTAGAGATTTCTTTTAATAACTGGGGTTAAATTTAGTGGAAATATCCTAATTTCTCAGTAGTTTAGTAAGAAATCTTTATATTTTCTTAGATAGTCCATTTTTTAAAGACGATTCATTTTTTTTAGTATTGCTTTTCTTTGATTATTATGACTATATGTTCCAAGCGAAGAATTTTATTTATTTATTTGAACACTTAAATATTGGTGCATATATATATATATATATATATATATATATATATATATATATATATATGCCACACAATAACAATGAGAATGGGAAGAGAAAAAGAATGTAAGGTGCGTATGTGAGAGAAGAAATATACAACAATAACGACCACAGATTAGTGTATGGTAGTGTAATAATAATAATAATAATAATAATAATGGGGAAAACGGAAAGGTACAACCAAAAACAATTCCTTTACTTAAGGAAGTTACAACCACTTTTTATGAAGAAAGTAAAATAAGATTACAGCAGGATCACCACTTGCTTCAATTCTGAACCATATCTGATAACGTCTCTAGCCACTGTGTTACACCACCTCTCGCACCCCAACCAGGGAGTCGAGAAAGACCAACAGAAGCCAACCCTTTGCAGCTTTCTTTCATACCACGACACCATTTCATACACTGACCACCTCTCCGCTTTTTTCAACCAGTCCCAGCGTCGGTAAATAATTTACGATGGAGAATTCTCTAGGATGACATTCGCAGAACATGTCCAAGCCACCGAAGTCGATGTTTCAAGATAGCGACATCAATTGCATTATAGTCGCTGTACCCGAACACACGATGCCGAACCTCTGCATTACTAACATGGTGTTGCCACTGGATGTCAGCAATCCTTCGGAGACAGCGATGATCGAACAAAGAGAGTCGTCTAACATCCTCATCTCGGAGAGGTCAGGTTTCATAAGCATAGAGCAAAACTGCTCTCACTGACGCGTTGTAGATCCGACCTTTTACAACTAGACTGAAATCTCGAAGGCTCCAAAGATGGCCCAGATTGACATAAGCCGCTTTGGCTTTCATTATACGTGAATTGATCTCATCACTCACACCACCACCAGCACTCATGCAGCTATCTAGATACACGAAGAACAGTTTTATTTGTGAATATATGAAAAAAATTTAATGGGAAAAATACTTACTTATGTGCGCCTGTTACCCCTTGTAGAGGAGCATAGGCCGTCCACCAGCACTCTCTATCCAACCCTGTCTTGGAAAATATTTTCTAGCTCTTTCCAGCTTCTATTCATTCTTTTCATATCTGCTTTCAATTCCCGATATAGTGTGTGTATTCTTCAAACTTCCTTTTTTTCCGTTTCGCTTGCCTTATGATGCAGTTTTATGATTTTCATAATGTATGTCCTATCCACTTCCAACGTTGTTTGCTAATTTCCTGTTAAGGAAAAATACTAATTATAGTCTAATAATCCACCTGTTTGACATGATCCAATAAGATATTTGATAGATTTCTACATTCGAGATGATTTTGTCTAATCAGTCTATCATTAGTTTGATCTAAGTAACTTGGCTTGTACTTCAAAAATACTTCATATTAGTACCAATTGTTAGGATTGAATTTTCTACACATATACATTCTAAAACTTTGCAACGAAATTTGAACACAATCTAGATTGTCATTCAGCTTTGTCTATAATTAAAGATGACTTCAAGTAATCTTCTTAATAATAAGTCAATCGTTCATTTAATTTAGAAAAAATAGACCCAACGAATTAAGTATTTTATTGAAATGAAGTAAATTGTACTAATTATAATGATATTTTGAAATGATACTCAATGATTAGACTGGAATTAAGATATAATGATCAATCGCGTTTCGGAAGTTTTTTGGGAAAAAAAGCAGTGATCATGATCCTTTTAAAAACGAGAACTATAGCCAATATCGATTTATATATAATATGAATATAGCAAGGGCGAGATCATAATTTATGGACGAACCAATCAGGTTGAAGATGCCACAGGTATTTGGAGTTTGACAACGCTTTAACCAGTAACACCTTCTAATATGAATCGTACCCACCAAGTGAAATCAAAAGACAGAAGCGAGGAGGTTCGAAGATATATTTGGTAGGCTATCAATATATCGTGGATCGACTGATCTAATCTGGCTAACGATTGCAGTGAATGTTGAGCACGGCGTTCCCACTCGTGATCTGGTGCGGATGCATGACCGAGCGCCTTCAGCTAGGCGAGTTCATTAAAACTAATTTGATCAGCATCCAATGTCGAAAAATTACAGAGCTATTTATTTTGGTGATTCATTTACCGCTACAAAGAATAAGATAACAGGTCTCAGAAATTCGCTTATCCGTTTGGTTAAATAAAGTTTTGATATTATAGCTGATGTCAGTTCATGATGAAAACCCTAAATCTAATCTCCAACCTTAATCATCAACTGTAAATCATCATTCGAATTCCTGACACTAATTTATAACCCTCATTTGGTCCTGATTATTAGGTGAACACTCTCAAGGTCATTTGAGCGTCTCTCAAAGGTCGTCCATAAATTATAATCTCACCATAACAAGATCAGTAAATAACCCAGAATAATATGAATTTATTCTTATTTCTTGAGTCTTTATCATTTGCTTACAATGGTGCTTATTTTTAATTTCACTCTTTTGTTTGGGAAATATTTCTTAATCTTATAATGATAATAGTAATAAGTACACCTTCTTGTATTGATAGGTATATGAGGAATTAATTACAGGAAAAGAGATAGAAGAAGTAAATTATGAATCATTGAAAGATCAATGGTATTCTGGTTTAATATCTCATACTGATTCATTAATCAATCTAAGTGAAATAGAAATTTTAGAAGAATCTTGGAATAATTTTATCATTATTATGAATGAATGGTTATGGGAAATAGATGATAAAATACCTGGTGAATTTGGTCGTATTGCTAAATGGTTAGGTCAAGCTGAAAAGTGGTTTAAACAAGTAGATTTAAAATGGTATCAAAAACCATCTGGTACTGAAGCGATGGGATTTTGTATTACAGTAAATCAATCATGGCGTCCTTCAAGTGCTGAACCTCCATATTCTCCTCCGTCAAATGAACTAATAGATAAGTTACAAAATGAGAGATTAGTAAGTGATACAATCAATATATGAGTAAACATATCACTTGATTAGATTACTTTTTCTTTATACCTACCATACACATGATTGTAGTTAATTTAAGCCATAACTTATGGAGATAAACGTATTGGAAATAAATCAGTTTGTTCCTCTCAACAATTACTGAAAATGGATTGTATTATATCGTGAATTAACTAATGATGAATTATGCGGACTATTTAATTACAATATCAAGTTCTTCAATAAACGTACAGCTTATTAGTTTACCAATCTATGTTATGTGTGAAAACACTTGGGGAATCTAAATATTGGGCGAAACAAATGTCTATCATTATACAGTTCAATTATTTTCTTCAAACCATTAGATTTAAATCTTTTTTTTCTAGCATTATCATCATACTACTTATTCTCTTGATAAATTTGAACCCATGAAAAATAATTTAATAGTTTAATTCATCAGTCAGTTAAATCTAAACAACCATGGAAAACCTGGAAGCACTGGAAATCCATTTCTTCCTAGTATGGGACTTCTCAGCAGTGAGCATCTACGATCCCGCCTTGTTAGATTCGAACCCAGGACCTATTGGTCTCGCGCGCCAGCGCTTAACCTCCAAACCATTGAGCTGACATCCAACGATGCTAATGTCTAACTTTAACCAATCCATGAAACTTGTAATCTTAAGGATATTTTTTTACATTTTGATTATTGATTGACAAGTTATTAGTTAATGTATACTTTAATATTTTCTCCAGGAAATTTTTGGAACAAATAACCAAAAGTTGAACTCTATTCGTGATGATTTATCTCGTGTTATTGACAATGAAAAGACAAACAATTTGCCTAGTACTTTGATTGATAGACTAGGTACACGTTTATCAAAAGTTACTGGTTATGAACCTGGAAATAGTGCAGTTTTAAGTGCAGCAAAAGCTCGTAGAACATTCCTTGATATATTATATAATGTTAACCGTACAGAAACTAGTACAGGTGTTCGTATACGTAGTCGTCGACGTGAAAGTGCTACAGGTTTTGAATATCGTTTTTGTAATTGGTTGGATCTAGTCGATGGAAATATACATACTGAAACTAGAGAGATTGTAAATGGAATTCTTACCGATTATCAGGTAATCATTATTGTTTAATGTAAGAAAAATTTTATACTGTTAGATATTGAGAGTTATTAAACATATAATAGATTTAATTTGAGATTTCTTAGAATCACTTGATATACCGATGAAATACATCTTGAACAATTTAGTTCAACATTAATTTGTCAGGAAATTCAAAACGATAAAGATAAAACATTGTTCGCATCATCGATGATACGAAAAAGTAAAATGAATTTATATCAGAAGGGGCTTTTTGTGGATATTATAGTAATTTTAATAGTTGAGATCATGCGTCAATTGAAGCTAGACCACCACCACTGAAAACCTGGAAGCACTGGACGGCCGTTTCGTCTGAGTGTGGGACTCCTCAGTAGTACGCAACCATGATCCCACTTCTCGAGATTCGAAAGCGTGACCTATCGGTCTCGCGCGCGAACTTCAATTGACTCATGATCTCAGCAATTAAAACTACTATCATATACATAAAACCTTCTTCTGGTATAAGAATGTGTCAGCTTTATTACGACCATATTTTTAAATAACCCATGCATTCGATCATAATGACTTGTATACAACATTGGAAAAACTGTTTTTTAAAATTAATCTTATAACTAGTTTCTTTTAGGTCTGACGAAAGTGGAAGATGACTGATTGTCATCCGTTGTTAGGTTAAAGTGGCTTATTTACTTTTGTTACCAACTAGATAAACAGTATATCATTATCAAATTCATCACATATATAATATAACCTGCCTATATAATGTACAATACAGTTATTTGAATATCATTCAGATTTACTTCTCAAAGTATAATGACTTTGATCTCAAAGTATGTGTGATCGACAATATGATCTTGATTTTTGCTTCAGAAAAAAAAGGTTTATTCAAGTCATTTCAAATATGCGAAATGATTTCAAAAACTTTTTTTCTTCTATAGAACATCTAATAAATTAGCTATAATCATTTTATGCTAATGACTAAATCATTATGCAACTATATGGAACAGATGTAAACGGATGTAACCTATCTTTACTAAAATCTCTGAGTGAAATGTCACATTGGTTTATTTTATCTGATTTAAAAAAAAAGTCTTTTACCATGTTATCATGAACACATTACTGAATTTCAATAAAGACATAACTTATTGTTTCTTATTATCTAAATGGTAGACTATTAAAGTATAAAGATTGAAAAACAGCTGATGAACTCTAGGAAATGCCTTAAATAGAGTTTATCCAAAGGTTGTGTATAACATGATTTTTCTTCTATGTCATTTCTGAAAAATCGTGCATGGAGGACATCTCACAGACTCGTTTGATGTAAAGACCAGTGTCATGCAAGGTTTCATACTCTCACCCTTTCTCTTTCTCCTGGTGATCGACTGGATCATGAAGACATCAACATCTGAAGGGAAGCACGGGATACAGTGGACAGCTAGGATGTAATTGGATGATCTAGACTTCGCAGATGATCTGGCTCTGCTATCACAAACGCAACAAAAAATTCAGAAGAAGACGATCAGTGTAGCAGTATCCTCAGCAGCAATAGATCTCAACATACACAAAAAAGCGAGATTCTCTGATACAACACAACATGCACCAATCAAATCACACTCGACGGAGAAGATTTGGATGATGTAAATATCTTTACATATCTGGGCAGCATCATTGATGAACACGGTGGATCTGATGCAGATGTGAAGGCGTGAATCAGCAAAGTGAGAGCAGCATATTTACAACTGAAGAACATCTGAAACTCAAAACACCTGTCAACCAACATCAAGGCCAGGATTTTCAATACAAATATGAAGACAGTTCTACTGTATGGGGTAGAAACCTGGACAACTACGAAAGCCATCATCCAGAAGATACAAGTGCTTATTAACAGTTGTCTACGTAAAATACCTCGGATCAGCAACAATCTACTGTTGGAGAGAACAAACGAGATTCTAGGGTGGAAAGAGGAGGAAATCAAGGAGATGGTCTGGAAGTGGATAGGACGCACATTGAGGAAAGCACCGAACATCGTCACAAGGCAAGTCCTTACATAGAATGCTCAATGCCAAATGAGGAGATGAAGACCAAAGAACACAATACGTCGAGAAATGGAGATAGACATGAGAAGAATGAACAACAATTGGATAGAACTAATAAAGAAGGAATAGGTTGAAGAATACTGGTCCATTGTGAATAACAGATGTAAGTAAGTAGATATGTAGTTTGTTGAAACAAAACTTTGATAAGAACTATAGTATAACGTGTTAAGTTCCTATAAGTTCAACTATCATATATCATTTCTATGGAACCATTTATCATGAAATTGAATTGTATCAACTATTAACTTCAATTACCCTTCTTTTATTATTTTCTTCATTTCATTATTTATTCAATATAATGTAAAAACAAACAAAATAGCTTTGTTTAAAAACAGAACATATTCCAGAGAAATTAGATCAATGTAAATCTGATTTATGTAAACATTTTAATTTATTAACTAAAATTGCTCAATATGATGATCAACTTTTACCAAAAAATTCTTTGGATATTATTCAACGATGGCAAGATGATTGTGAATTGAAATGGAATTTAAATAAATTCAATCAATTAATACAATTAGGTGAACGTATTAAACAACGTTTAACTGTTTGGGATAAATTAGATAATCGTGTTAGAAATATAGAAGTAAGTTTAAATTGTATTAATTAAAATTATGATGTCACTTTTTAAAGATATCATTGTTTAAGTATGGCGGCCTGTGCTCCTGATGGAGTTTTGTTCTCTGAGCTAGATGGTTTAATTATGGAGCTTTCATTGTTCTTCTGAACGACATCACAGCTTGTTCTGTACATCTCGATATTGACTGGTTCTTATTGACCTTGTGTCTTCCATTGGGAGACACAACCAAAACAAAGAAGTAAACAATGACAAATTAAAGTCAATAAGAACCAATCAATATCGAACTGTACAGAACAAGCTGTGAAACGCATATGGAGAAATTCGAACACTTCACTTCTATCTGAAGTTTGTGTTGATGATATCGTTCAGAAGAACGATAAAAGCTCCACGACCAAACCATCCAACTCAGAGAACAAAACTCGATCAAAATCATCCACCTGAGCTACAAATCTTCGGCCTATGCTTCATTGAGAGTAACAGACCTAAGTAAGTAAGATTGGATTATAAACCTTGTTTCCCATGCTTATTTGTCTTTAATTAGATTAAACCATTTAATGAACATTTAATGACGACTTATCAATCTGGGTTATGGACTATTACTGTTATTATAAAAAATAGTGTCGGTTATTATGTTAAGCTTATATAATTTATTCTAGCTTCTGTACAAGTCAATTTATTCATTCTTAAATAAAAAATATTTTAGTGAACAATTGTTTTCAATAACTTCATCATCAGGCTGTACAGTTATAAGTCCATAATTATAATATTTTCCAAAGATCAAAAATAAGGCATGTATTAATGAATTTGACAATGAATTTTTCTGACAAGTAGATGGGGTAGCAATGGGATCACCTCTAGGCCCGATCCTTGATAATATTTTTCTGGGAAAACTAGAAAATGGAAAGTTTAAAGTCATCCTGTCGATACATATATGACACACTAATCATATGCGACGAAAATGTCGACAAACAGGAGATGTTGGACCATTTCAATAATGTCCACCCAGTCATTAAATTCACCAGCGAAGAGGAGAAAGACAATAGTATAGCTTTTCTGGATGTCCTACTTTCTAAAAGGATAGACGGTTCCATAAAGTGAAATATATTTAGAAAGAGTACATGGACGGGTCAGTATACCCATTTCCAAAGCTTCACCCCTCTTCAATATAAAATAAATTTGGTTAAATGTCTCAACCACAGAATCAAGTTATTATGTTCGGAAGACAGTGTAGATAGCGAAATAGATATGCTAAAGAACATATTACGAAATAATGGCGATCCAGATAATTTCGTCATAAAATACCTCGTAGAAAGTACTAAAAAGAGAAAAAATTGTGACACAGTCAGTAAAAAGACCTTATATCTGAGACTAGACTTTAAAGGGAACACACCGGGTGATATTTTAACACGTCGACTCAAAAGATCGGTCGGAAGGACGTTTCACGCTGCCAAGCTACACATAACTTTCTCAACTAAACCAGTACTCAAGTATCAAGCATGTTTTTGTGTTTAATACCATTAAAGACCCGCTTTTCCATACTTCGATTTATGGAAATAAATAACATTTAAAATGATTATTCATAAGAGTTAAGTCAAAACAAAACCTATTAGATAATATGAACAACATCTGGGTTAAATATTATGCCTACTGAACATAATTAAGAAAGACATAGATTCTCATCACCAGAATATCAGGATTACGATGCAAATACTACATATAATATTAAATAATAATAATAATAATAATAAAACTGTTCAAACTTGATACACGACTAACATTTTGTTATTCGGTTTAGTGCTTGTGACGATTTTGTTGATTTGTCTAATCAAATTAGATGACTGCGGGATAAATGGAGAGAGCAGTCTAATCCCATAATAACTCTATCCACATGTTATATATAGCTAACTATCAGATAAATATCTATGAATTTCCTTTCCATATGTTTTTTTTCTATCAGAATTGGTTGTCACAATTTGAAGATTCCACATTTTCTGAAAATGATTGGTTCAGTCGACGAGATGAAATATTTCTCTTATTAGAAGAGGCTAATGAAGCCGCTCACTATCTTGGTGAATCAGCCGACCATCATAGATTGGAAATGTTTCGTAAAAGGATTGAGAAACTAGAATCCGATGTGAGCAAATAAGTTAAGATTATAATTTATATATTTATTAACAATTATTACTGTCGGTATAGGGGATGTATGGAGATTGTAGAAGGTCTACGGTTTAATTTACGAACTAATCTTAGTTAGACCATCAATGAAAACGTTGAAGAACTGTAAGGTCATTTCTTCCTTGTGTGAAACTTTTCATCAGTGCGCATCCACAACCCTGCACATAGGAATTGAGATCAGAATTTTCAGTCTCACTTGTAAATATTTGATTTTTATATGACTGGGCTGGGATACAATGATGCACATGTCTAACTTCAATCAATTCACAATATTGCGCAACCCTTATCCATTGCTTGGGGCGGACAAATGTCACACACCAGTGACCTATGTAGTTTCATCTATGTCAGATGTGACACCTTTATCCACAACAAACAGTAGATTAAGTTTGTACAATATTGTGAAGTTAGGCATGTGCATCATTGACTTTCAATGCTACCAGGCACTTCACTTTCTACTGATGATACATACTACTTGTATCTGTCGACATCAGTAGCATACACCACAGAATTAACTAGGGACTAAAAATAGAAAGAAGATAATTTTCATCTTATAGATTAATCTGAGTTCAATTACTTATAAGTATTAATCGAAACACAACAAATAATGTGTGAATTGATTTAATACTAAATACTGGTAGCATATGACCCAGTTGTATATACTAAGTTTTCAAGGAACACGTTTTTTACACTTTTTTAATGCATGCATGATTTCTGTGTTCTTTCAGAAGCACATTAATGTATGTCACTGTACATTAATACTTAATACTGAATCACTAGATGAAATCAGCTAGAGATTCATTATAAACTAGTGAGAACTGGATGGATGTTTATTGATTTGAACACATAAATATTGGTACAAGAAGCACCAGATATATATATGCCACACAAAACAATAAGAATGGGAAAAGAAAAAAATATAAGGTGCGTATCAGAGAGGTGAAAAAAAGAAAGAACAACAACGACCACAGATTAGTGCACGGTAGTGTAATATTAATAACAATGGGGGAAACGGAAAGGTACAACCACAAAGAATTTTTTCATGTTAGCAATCCTTCCGAGACACGATGATCAAGCACAGAGTCGTCTAACATCCTCAACTCGGAGAGGTCAGGTTTCACAAGCATAGAGCAAAACTGCTCTCACTGACGCGTTGTAGATCCGACCTTTTACAACTACACTGAAATCTCGAAGGCTCCAAAGATGGCCCAGATTGACATAAGCCGCTTTGGCTTTCTTTATACGTGAATTGATCTCATCACTCACACCACAACCAGAACTCATGCAGCTACCTAGATACACGAACTTCTCGACTACTTCTATCTGCTCACCATCCAGGGTGAGTACAGGATTATAATCCTGCCAGTCTTGTAGAAGTACTTTACACTTCGAAGGTGCAAAGCACATACCATACCTACGGAAACTGATTCCCAACTGATTAAGTGCGGATTGCATGGCTTGGGCATTCTCGCACAGTAAGACAATATCATCCGCATACTCAAGGTCGAGAAGTCTTTCTCCAGGCAACAGAGTAACACTTCAATTACTTACATCCATCCGAGCTGTTTCCAGAATGTCATCGATGACAAAGTTGAAGAGGAATGGTGAAATTGGGCAACCCTGCCTAACTCCACTGCTTGAATGGAATAATGGAGAAAGGTGGTTGTATGCCCTCACTCTGTCTGAGGTGTTTGTGTATAGGGCTTTTAGGATGTTAATAAACTTCTCAAGCACACCCTTCTTCAATAGACAATCCCGGAGAACAGTCCACTCTAACGAATCTAGGGCAGCCCTGATGTCAAGAAACACTACGATTGTTGGCCTTTGATAAGTATGACTGTGTTCTAACATTTGGCGGAGGGTGATGATATGATCAATACATCCTCGACCAGAACAAAAACCAACCTGCTATTCGCGGGTCAATTTTTCTCGGGTTTTGAACAACCTACGAATTATGACGGAAGTCAATAGCTTAGACGAAATCGGAAGTAGACTTATCCCGTTTTTAAATATCGAGACAACTATCGACTCGTTCCATGATGTAAGAACACTCACTAGCTCCCAGATTTTTGTAAACAATGCTATATATATGGAAAGAGACCTATACTTATCAATCTAATATGATTTTCTTTTTCCATTTCTTTTTGGTTTTAAAAAATAATTAGATTTCCAAAAGAAAACAAAAGAATTTAGAAAAAATTGAAGCAAAACGATTAGCGGATAAATTAAAACTTGAAAATGAATTAAATAATCATTTAAATAAAATGGAAAAGTGGATAAATTCAATAAAAGATTTAATTGAGAATAAAACGAATTGTAAATTGAATAATTTACAAGTACGTTGTACTTCTAATGGATTATCGATTATAGTTGGGCAATTACAAAATATTTTAGATGAACAACCAAAAGTAAGTAATATACTAGTTTTGATTAAGTATCTAAATGTTACTTATGTATGTGAACAAGAACACGACTGGGGACAATTGAATGTATTTGAGCACAATAATAACAGAACATCTCATTAAAATCAGAGAACCATATAATAAATAATTCACTCGATATAGTTTTACTTGAATCTTCTCATTGATGTTTAGGACTGGAATTGATCAGTCTCATATTGACATATGTGCATACTGTGCGGATTGTCTCGTTATTGCCTTAATTCACAAGTATTATAAGCAAAGATGGATAGTGGCTAGCAGTGGAATCTAGAACTCGCGTTTCGTCTTCTTTAGGACTCCTCAGCTCGATGTACCTGTATTTCAGAGTTGATGTTCACTCTGGGACTCGAACTCAGTATCGTTCGCTTCAAACGCAATCGTGTTATCCACTTAACTACTGAGTCCTGTAAATTAAGGCAATATCGAGGTAATATGCACAGTGTGCACATATGCCAATAAGAGACTGATCAATTGCAGTCCTAAACATCAATGGGAAGATTCAAGTAAAACAATATCAAGTGAATTAAACTTCACCCCATTACACAAGCAATTGGCTATCAGGACTCAGTAGTTAAGTGGATAACGTGATGACTTTTGAAGCGAATGGTACTGGGTTCGAGTCTCAGAGTGAACATCAACTTTAAAATGCAGACACATCCATCTGATGAGTCTCAAATATCGATTGATTAATGTTGTTGCATTAAAGAATCCCCACCAGCAGCTGTGTATCATTCCAACAAGTTTCTGTTTAACAATGATTGAAATTGTTGTTATTCTATAATAATATTCTATGTGTTTTTATGATAGCCAGTATCTGCCATTAATCTTCAGCAGATAAAGTATTTTATCAGTCGAGTTCCTACACCTTTTTTTTCCAAGCCATTAGATACTGAAAGTATGAATTATGATATATTTTTCTCTCGTTATTTCAAAAAATGTAGACACGGAGCTCAGTATTTCAATCTTAGTAGTTAGCATCGTGATAGCTTATAAGTCTTTCATAATGTCGCATGAGTTCACGTAGTTGAAATTCATGATTGTTCAGTTCACACAAATCTATCAGGAAGGCTTAAAGCAATATTTCCATGGTTTGTAAATAGGTGGTATAAATATTTGAACAGGCCTCTATGTTATTGAAGGGTCTGGTTCGCTCCATGGGATTCAAACCAACATCACTCTGTTTCGTACTGACAGACGTTACTACTCAAAATTTTTAGACCATCACTTATTTCCTGTGTTATTCGGACATTTATAGCAACTGATTACTTAGTGGTTACTGAATTTTTATAATTCTAAGGAAACTAAAATAAGACAAATAATCTGTTTAACAAATACACTACTCAATATCAAATTTTTGGTGAAAAATTGATGAAGTTTTTTAAGAAAGTCATGAACTACAGGACGATGCTTATGAAGATGATGCGTTTACGAAAACACTTCTTTAGAAATGAATCACCAATTAAGTAAAGAGTATGATTAGTCCAAAATGAATGCGTGGACAGAAAGTCAGTCCATCTCCTATTTTGATTATGCTATTAATCATCGACTTACCATACGGATACTTGCCTTCATACTTACACATGTTACCCCTAGTGAACAAGCATAGGCCGACCACCAGCATCTCTATCCAACCCTTTCCTCGACAATGAAATCCAGTTGTTTGCAATCACTAATCATTCTTTTCATGTCTGCTTCCAGTTCTCGTCACAGTATGTTCTTCAGTGTTTTCCTTTTCTGTTTCCTTTCACAATTCCATGTTAGTGCTTGCTTCGTGATATAGTTTGATGATTTTCACAATATATGTCCTATCCACCTCGAGAGTGTTTTCCTAATTTTCTCTTCAACTCCTAGCTGATTTTTTAACTCCCGCAGTAGGCACCATACAGATGGTTCACGAGAAATTGAATTTAAGAAAGACATCTAGGTAAAAAAAGTTTATGACTGGGTGCATTAAAAAAACAACTAAACTTAAAATGACGAAATAGAGGATCTCTAAAACAATTGAAGCAGAATAATCAATGTATTGTCATATATGAGGAATGTTTTGAAAGGAACAAGATTCATATATTGTAAATTGTGTAAAATAAATTACTGATGACCTCAAATAGTGTATTTGTTGACTTACTTACTTACTTACACCTGTTACTCCCAGTGGAACATAGGCCGCCGGCCAACATTCTCCAACCCACACTGTCCTGCACCTTCCTTTCTAGTTCTACCCAATCGTTGTTCATTCGTATGTCTGTCTTCATTTCTTGACGTAATATGTTCTTTGATCTTCCTCTTCTGCTTTGACCCTAAGGATTCCATCTGAGGACTCACCTTGTGACACAGTCGGGTGCTTTCCTCAATTTGTATACTATCCATTTATCTACTTTATTTTATTGAAAAGACTATATATTTCAACATTTCTGTTCTGTCTTTTTGGACCGCTATTTATTACGTAATTCTTTCGCCAATCAAAATATGACTTATTCGCTCTTGTACTGTGCTAAACCAATGGTGTTCGTCATGTCTGATCAGCCTAGAGTCCTATTGGTCCGTTGCTCGCCTAGCCCGTCCAGTTGAGTCCAGAATGCCAACAACAGCTTCCACTATGCGAATCGTCTATTTCAAACATACCGGGTTTATATATCAACCAAACAGACCGCATCACACCATAAAATAGGAAATAACATTCATACACAATAAAGCCAAAAAGTGGCTGTGAAAGTAAGAGACTGTAATCAATAAACTGAGCATAACTTAAGAACAGTAGATCGTACAATAATAATCTATAGTTCAAAACGAAGCTTATAATAAGGCGAATATATATATACATAAACTAATTACTGAATAGTTATACCATAAGGATACATAGATAATGTCAGTTCATCAAAAGGTCTCAGAAGTTACTTACTTACTTACTTACTTACTTACTTACTTACTTACTTACTTACTTACTTACTTACTTACTTACTTACTTACTTACTTACTTACTTACTTACGCATGTTACTCCCAATGGAGCATAGGCCGCCGACCAGCATTCTCCAACCCACTCTGTCCTGAGCCTTCTTTTCTAGTTCCATCCAATTCTTGTTCATTTTTCTCATTTCTATGTCAATTTCTCGGCGTAATGTATTCTTTGGTCTTCATCTCCTCCTTCGACCTTGAGGATTCCATGTGAGGGCTTGCTTTTGACGCAGTTAGGTGCTTTCTTAAATGTCTTTCCTATCCACTTCCAGCGCTTCTTCCTGATTTCTCCCTCTACTGGGATCTGGTTTGTTCTCTCCCACAGTAGGTTGTTGCCAATGGTGTCCACCCAACGGATCCGAAGTATTTTGAGTAGACAACTGTTAATAAACACGTGTATCTTGTGGATGATGGCTTTCGTGGTTTTCCAGGTTTCCACTCCATACAGTAGAACTGTCTTCATATTTGTATTGAAAATTCTGAACTTGGTGTTGGATGCCAATTGTTTTGAGTTCCAGATATTCTTCAGTTGTAGATATGCTGCTCTCGCTTTGCCGATCCGTGCCTTCACATCTGCATCAGATCCACCGTGTTCATCAATGATGCTGCCCAGATATGTAAAGATATTTACATCTTCCAAAGCTTCTCCGTCAATTGTGATTGGATTGTTGCATGCTGTGTTGTTTCGGAGAATCTTGCTTTTCTCTTTGTGCATACTGAGACCTATTGCTACTGAGGCTGCAGATACACTGATCTTCTTCTTCTGAATTTTTTGTTGCGTTTGTGATAGCAGAGCCAGATCATCTGCGAAGTCTAGATCATCCAACTGCATCCTAGATGTCCACTGTATCCCGTGCTTCTCTTCAGATGTTGACGTCTTCATGATCCAGTCGATCACCAGGAGAAAGAGAAAGGGTGAGAGTAAGCGACCTTGCCTGACACCGGTCTTTAATTCGAACGACCTTGTCAACTGTCCTCCATGAACGATTTTGCAGTTTAATCCATCATAGGAATTCCGTATGATATTGACTATCTTTTCGGGCACGCCGTAGTGTCGAAGAAGCTTCCATAGTGTTGTTCTGTCCACGCTATCAAATGATTTTTCGTAGTCGATGAAGTTGATATAGAGTGATGAATTCCATTCAATTGATTGTTCCACAATGATCCGTAGACTTGCGATTTGGTCTGTGCACGATCTATCCTTACGGAATCCTGCCTGTTGGTCACGAAGTTGTGCGTCTACGGAGTCCTTCATCCTGTTTAACAATACCCTGTTGAAGACTTTTCCTGGTATTGAGAGAAGAGTGATTCCCCTGTAGTTGGCACAGTTGCTGAGATCGCCTTTCTTTGGTATTTTGACTAGAAGTCCTTCTTTCCAGTCTTTCGGTACCTGTTCCTCATCCCAAACTCTTACTGAAGAGAATATGGTGTGTCCTTGCAGTTGCCGCTACGTCTGCTTTCAGTGCCTCTGCTGGAATGCTGTCTAGTCCTGCTGCTTTGCCACTCGTGATTTGTCTGATAGCCATGTTGATTTCTTCAATTGTTGGTGGGCCAACATCGATTGGGAGGTCCGTGAGTGCTGGTCGATTCAACAGTTCTTTGAAGTATTCTACCCACCTGTTCGTTGTTCTTCAATGTTGGTGATTATCTTGCCTTCCTTACTTTTTACTGGTCGTTCTGGTTTACGGTGATTTCCAGAGAGTTTCTTTGTTGTGTCATACAGTTGTCTCATGTTTCCTTCTCAGGCAGCCTTTTCCGCCATCATTGCTAAATCTTCCACATATTTACGTTTGTCAGTTCTGATGCTCCTCTTCACTTGCTTGTTTACTTCTGTGTATTCAGCCTGTGCCTTGGCTGTTTCTGCTCTTGTTCGGCTGGTATTGACTGCTGCCTTCTTGCTCCTCCTTTCTTGAATCTTATCTAGTGTATCGACCGTGATCCAATCCTTGTGATGGTGCTTCTTTTGGCCAAGAACCTCATGACATGTTGAAGTGATTGCCTCTTTTATCCCTTTCCAGTTGTTCTCTATAGTAGTTCCCTCTCTACTGAGTAGATCATGAAAGGCCTGGAACTTATTGCTGAGGGTTATCTTGAATTTGTTGAGTTTGTCATTATCCCGAAGAAAAGCCGTATTAAATTTCTGTGATATTGTCCTCCCCGTTGTCCAGTGCCTCTTGAGTTTCAATTTCATCTTGGCGACCAGCAAGTGATGATCTGATGCTATATCAGCTTCTCTCTTGGTTCTCACGTCCTCCATCGTCCAACCTAAATAAATGGTTGCTCTGGTTGTCAGAAGGGGCATCAGCTTCGTGGCTTACGAAGAAACTCGGCTTTAATCATGAGGCGTCATAATTCTTCTAAACGAAGACCTCCTGACTCCCAGGGCAGAGTTTAAATGGTTTGAATAATTTTTTTGATTAGCGTTTTTTTAGCGAGTTAGTTTTCTACGGGATGGGGTCGCTAACCCCATGTCCAACCCTCCTCCTTTATCCGGGCTTAGGACCGGCAGTAGCCCCCCGAAAAGGACTCCAGGCGGAGTTTCTCAGAAGTTACTTGTAATTCAATCTTCACTAGGATATGACAATTTCTCATTTCCAATTTTTATAACCGCATAAATCTCATTCTTTTTCTTTTTACCCTATCTCCCCCCCCATCAATCAATCAATGAAAATTCTATTCAAGATCACAGAACATTTACAAAATGCTACTATATTGAGTCAAGATCCAATTATTCAACCAATACAATTAGAACAAAAAGAACATTTAATATGTTTAGAAGAATTAATAGAAAAATTTATTCATTTATTACCAATAAAATTAAAAGATTTAACAGATATAACAGAGAAAACTTATGAAATAGAAAAAAATTTAAATAATATTCATTTACAAATAAATGAATTAGAACAGAAACAAAATAATATTTTATTGGAAACTGATATTCATACATGGGAATGTTCATCATTATATCTTGATGTAAGTTTTGAAATAATAAACTATTTCAGATGACAGAGAAGATTTATAGCTTAATTTAAATGAACCGGCTATTATGGAATTGTATCTCCTTAAGTTGATCCCTTGCCTTGTGAATTAGACCTTCAGGTCGAAGGCTCCGTGTGTGACCGCCTAAGATAACCACATGTTTCTATCTGGGCAATCGGTCAGTATCACAGATCTCATACAAATCGAATGATTTATGTGTCGCATATCTATGATAAACTATTTCAGATGATGGAGAAGATATATAGCTTAAGTGGATGATTTTGTTGGAGTTTTATTCTCTGAACTGGATAGATAGAAGTTTATCTGAAGTTTGTGCTGATGGTATCATCGAGAAGAATGATGAAAGCTCCATGAGCAAACTATTCAGTTCAGAGAAAAAATCTTCAAAATAAACTTTTTTTCAATTATTTCATTGATTAGTACTAAGGCTAACTGGAAGAAAAAAACTTTACTTGTAGCCTCTCTGGAGTTACTGTCAATCTTAAAATCAGATAAAGAAGGAGGGTTAGACATAGGATTAGAGACTTCATCCCATAAAAAAATAACTCGCTAATAAAATGTTAACCAGAATGCTAAAACGGAAAATAAAAAACCATGTATTTGAATAGATGTTTTATTTTATATTTGACCGATGATTAAGACTGGAAGATAATTTCTCCTTTTATTCCCGTTTACAAGTTGATTTTGTTACGTAATGGTAACAATTGAAATGTAATATTTCTTAATATTGTAAAAAGAAAGAAGAGATGTTTTATTATTGGAAAGCTTTTCTAAATTCAGAAAAGTTAAAACTATGATTAAATAACTTTGTTTATATATAGTTTGGGACTATGACTTTAGAGAATACGCGACTAATGAACTATTGGTTAACAAATAATCTTTTTGCATAGTTGCATTTAGTCACAATCAGTTGCACTTATTCAAAGCCATCTTACCGATTCATAGAAAATTATACACACAAGTAATACGTAGTACTTATAGTACCAAATATTATTTAGTCCTATAGAAGAACCGAGTGTGACATGGTCTACATTCATAGATGAGTTTTGTTGCGCTCTGTAATTCAATTCCTTTGCCAATACACTCTTCCTTATGCTTTCTCTATTACCTATGTAGAGTAAGACAGTAAATTAAGTTTAAATCCTAAACGCCGAAGGAATGTGTACATAATTCATGAATTTATGTGTAAAAATCGATCAGGATGTTAGCGATAGTTTTAACCAGACGAATAATCGGCTCATTCACAATTAGTTCACACACCTGCATTTTTCATACTTATCATTTATCTTTGAGTCTATGTGATTTTAGCGGATCTTTTCAATTTATCAAGTTTTTAAAGCGAATATGCTGTAACTTTATTAATATTGTGGAAAATTGAGTACATCAAAATCTTCCAACATTTTAATAATGTGTTCTTAACTTGTTGAGGAGATCCAGAAAACTCCTTGAAAGAAAGCCAAGAAAAGCTATAAAAACACAGAATCATCTTATCCAATCAGCGTTCACTAGAAGGTTTGTCAGAAACATCTAGAAAGTGAAAAGTTTCTGATTGGATGGTTACCTATACGGCTGATGTGTTTAGTAGCATCCCAGAATTTTTGGGAAACCCAAGAATATCTAAAATACTACAAAAACCCTAGATTTTCTGTACATAAACAAACCTTTAGAGTAAAGCTTTTTCTTTCCTATTTCGAGCTTTTTCTCTCATGTTCAAGTCGCTGTGTAGATTTAGGCTGGAATTTACCAGAAGAGCTTAGGAATCGAATCTGGCATTCAATTAGAAGACTTATCATAACTTAATCATAATATATATTCACTAGTTTATAAGATAATGTAAATATCTCATATACGTCCTGATGGTTACTCGACTTTGGGATCATATTATAGTTCTATTGACTTTTAAAATAAAAAAAATAATGTTTATCTCTTTTATCAAAATTTCACTAATAGACCATGAGGAATAGTTTGATGATTAAATGATACATCGGTGAAATAAGTTTAATAGTATAAATGTCTTTTAGAGGATTATGATGGGTAACTTTTTTACTTTCCAGTTGATTACTCTACTTTACAATGAAATAAGATTATTATTATTATTATTATTATTATTAATTTCAAATAGTTCAATGACTGTCGTGGGCATTTAACATTTACTAATGGTCAAGTAAATGATTTAGAACGTGCACTTAATTTACAAGATAATCGTGGTATGTCAATTTTAAACAAGTTTAGCGTTGAAGAGTTATATAATGAAATAAAAGGTTTCAATGATCGTCTTAATGTAAGTATTGGTTTCAAGTTGATGATATGAGTGTACTTTTAAAAATCTTTAAGATTAAAATCTATTGTTATTTTGATTAGTTATGAAAATGTTTTAAACATGGAGTTTTCTTTTACGGACTGAAAACCAAGAAGCATTTCATCTTCAGAAGCGTACATGTACTACTTCAGGGATTTCAATCTCGTTGTGATAACTAAACATTCAGACAACTGAACTCATATTCAGTTGTTTTTACTTCTAATTTCGACCATTTAGCGCTATTACACAACCGTCGTCCACTACCACTGGTGGTTACAATTATTTCACTCTGGTCATGGTTGAACTCCACTAGTAACGATATCTCAATAGAATTCTGCGAATTATCTCTTGAATTTATTTATTGGTAAGAACATGATGATTGCTATAACTGAGTGTTGTGGAGATTGATGAATTGAAAATTTGTATGACAGACTGACTGGTTATATTATGTGCTACAGGAAATAAATTCACGGTCATAGATATTACCAGAATAACTTAAGAATATTTGAATGTTCACCTCTCTTACATTTGAAATTGATGTTGTCGGCAGTATGATTGAGTATACTTGAGTAAAGTTAACTAAATCATAGTTAATTTGAGCAATTTAATGAATTGAACAGATTAATTGAAATGTTACGATCGAGATTCATGAGTTTGTATTCTTCTTTATCAATCATGTTGATCTTTTGTTTGATTCCTACTGAATGAACGGATGCTTTTATCTAGTTTCAGTACTAATTAATGTACTTATGTTTCTTGATAGTATAAGTGCCCATGAATTTGTAATGTATCTAATCTTCAATATTTAATGTATGTTCGACATTTAACTTTTTTCTTCCTATTTATTGCATACAAGCGCATAATTTCAAGTTATTAAGTTCACGTTATTTGTTTTTCTTTTATCTAATAAGTTGGGTTGAGCTACACTGTTGATATCATAAATGATATATACAGATAGCTCATGTTCGACGTCATTAACAATTGACTTCGTATACCTTCTGTAGGCTAATCACGTTAACATAGTGTAGTAACAAAAAGTAGAATAAAAGCTGTATTTAAAAAAAACATCGCAGGTATACTAAACGGGTGAATATAGAAATTAAATAGATGCAGATAGAAGTATGGATAACAGACATATATGAAGTGAGAACAACTGAAATATATTCGAAATTAAGGTCATATTTTGTGAAAATAGACGATGAATAATGTAGGCAAATGAAGGTGAACATGTGTGTGCTACTTATATCGACATAATTAGTATATGAAGTTAGTCGTGAACAGAGAGACAAGAGGGTCGAACAGCAACGAATGGAAACAGAATGCAATTTGTATAAAATGCAAGAACCATGAAGTCTGAGTCATTTTGAGACAATTGATGGACATTTTGCAAATTAAGCATTTACTATATGATTGTTAGCTTTTATTAACATGTCCTGTAATTTTGTGTCAAGTACATTTCAATAGTTGAGATCATGAGTCAATTGTAACTAGACCACCACCATGAAAAACCTGGAAGTACTGGACGGCCGTTTCGTCCTATTATGGGACTCCTCAGAAGTACGCATCCACGATCCCGCCTCGCGAGATTCGAACTCAGGACGTACCAGTCTCGCGCCAGGCGCTTAACCAACTAGACCACTGAGCTGGCATCCAATGGTGTTAATGTCTAAATTCAACTAGTCCAAGAAATTGGGCAACACATACACCATTATCATCAGTGAGTCACTATCTCACAACAGACAAGGTTGAACTCTACTGGTCACTGCTTCTCACTAGAACTCCAGGAAATACCTCTTGAAGTCAGTCACTAGTGAGCATATGTTGATTAGTATCAGAAGGAGGTTTTGTGGAGATTTTAGTAATTTCAATTGTTGAGATCATGAGTCGATTGAAGTTAGACCACCACCACGGAAAACCTGGAAGTACTGGACGGCCGTTTCGTCCTTTTGTGGGACTCCTCAGAAGTATGCGTCGACGACATTTGATTGTCCCCCACTCGTGTTCTTTGTTCACCGAGAACATACCTATATACAGTGTGTTCAGTAAAGTTACAATCAAACATACAAATGTTAGAAAAAGGTTGAATACCTTGTATCAGTCTATCATATCAGTTTATTATATGGCACTAATAACTTAATACTTTATCCTGAAAGACACTTACTTGAGATTTGGAATATACATATAGAATCTAATTACATATCTAATCATTTCATATTATTTTCAATAGAATACTGAAAAAGTAATTAAACGTAAACTTATTAATAAACAATCAATTAATGAAACATTTACAACATTAAAACAACAAATGGATGAAACACAAATAGCTTTAAAAGATTTAAAATATGCAACATCAGCTAATGGAGGGATTGGTAAAGAAGATTTATTGAATTTGTTAGATAATTTAAAAGTAAGTACTTTCATGTTAATTTCTTTATAAATATTATAAGGTTATCACTAATGTATTCATGAATTCAATGTTGGATCCTTATTTATTTATTTACTGACCTACTTACACCTGTTACCTCACGTCGTGGAGGAACATAGGATGCACACAAACATTCTTCATCCAACTCTATCCTCGATAATCAATTCCAGTTGTTTACAGTTGTTATTTATTCTTTTCATGTCTGCTTCCAGTGTGTTTTTTGGTTTTCCTCCTTTCTGTTTCCTTTCACGACTCCATATTAGCGCTTGTGATGCAGTTTGGTGATTTCCGTAATGTATGTCCTATCCACCAACTCCCTCATCTTTTCTTAATATCTTCCTCATCTGGAACCTAGTTTGTTCTCTCCCACAGTAAGCTGTTGCTGATGGTCTCGATTCAATGGACATTGAGTATCTTGTGTAGACTATTGTTTATAAATACTTGTACCATTTTGATGGTGGTTGTGGTATTTCTGGAAGTTTCAGCTCCATGCCGTAGAACTGTCTTGACGTTCGTATTAGAGATTGTGACTTTGAGTTTCATATGCTGTTCAACTGTATAAATGTGGCCTTTGCATCCGGCCATTTTTTAGTTCATTTAGTCTGTATTTACTGAATAACTGAAGATAGTTTACACTAAGAATTTTATTCGACGTAGTTGTGTGCTATTAAATTATCAGTATAACACGACTAGACATGTTGATTGGAAATATACAAATATAGTAAAGTTGTAGTACGAAATGAAATCTCTTAGGAAAGCCTCACATTCATATATCACATTCATGAAGTAAATGAATAGAAAACTGACCAAAAATGCTGACTACAATGAACCTATTAAACAGTGAAAACAGATTCTATTAAACTAAATGTGAGACTGAATGAGTGAAGATTAAAATAGATTTTAATAGGGATATAATCATCTCATTATACTAAGCACTTGAACTACCAAATGATGAAAAGCCTACAGAATAAATAACTTACATATTTTGACTCAATTATCAACTAACTAACAGTAATTAAAGAGCAGTAGATATCATGTAATTATTCATTTCCGTCAATTTATAAATGTTTATATCCAGTTTTAGAATACAACTTACCGGTAGGGTGGTATTGAGACAATAATGTTTGAAATGCCAACTTTATAGCCAGATTCACTATTAGATCAGATAGCAAGTCAGTACAGTTTTCGAAAATATGAAGTTAGGACATTGATTAGCCATTCGGTTGATGTACTTAAGGCTAGGCTGGTCAAGTAAAATTGATTCATGAACCATCTACTAGTTTTTCAGATATCATATGAATATAAACTTTCCATTATGAAGTAAAAAAACGAACGTGCATGTAGTATGGCGTTTTACATTAGAATTCAGGATACTTATTCAATCTTATTCGGAACTTGCCAACTGGTTATACATATATACTGAAAAATGATAGCCACCAGTTTATCCAAATTAATGGCTAGTATTTTACTACGACTGATATGTAGGACCGTATCTGATTAATGTCTTTTGGTTTGCAGTCTCCTAAAACAGAGTCTTCTATTTGCAAAACTAGTTATATTTGACGTACACATAACTGAGTGTTTCCGAAACATTGACATTTATTATAAAATATTGCTCTGGTTGATAAACTGTATATCTATATATAATTGATAAGAGGACAACATTTTAATCATCAACTTTGGCTTAAGCATATATGGATCATTACAAACATATAGTTTTTAAATTGCCTTCAGTCAACAGTTACATAGAATCCTTGAACAGATTACAGTCTGACTAGTCATTAATTACTGTCTCTTATATATAACACATCTATTACCTTCAAGCAGTTTTAATTTAATAGTCATAAAAAATGTTTTACAAAGAAGACTGATAATTATTAAACTGTCTTTATGATCATTATTAGTTTTTCTCTGTTCCATTTATAGACACTACGTCGTAAATACACAGAAAGTATTCAAACTAATGATAGACGATGTCAGAATTTCTTAAATTCTGCTGCTTCTCAAGGTGACGGTGATATGTTACTCAGTGAAATGAAAATGAAAATATCTCAGATGGTAATGTTATTGTAGATACAATTTTGTTTAACTTTTAGTCTAAGTAGTATTAATCAATCAGATATTTCCTTTAAATGATCTTTGTTGAAATTATACAATAAATCAAATAAAAATCATCTTAATTATTGACCAATCAGATTATCATAGGTATCATGACCAAGGTTTAATTTGATATTTTCGAATAAACTGAGCATTGGGTAGATTGTTATAAATAAATAAGTATATTTGTAATATCCCAATGACTGGAAAATTAGATTTTTGACGTTTCTTGACTTAGTGTAAGCCACCTCTTTAAAGAATAAATAACCAAATTAGAATTAATCCAAGTTTAAATAGTACAAAGGAACAACACAAGAATATTAAGTGAGATCAATCAAGAAAGTCAGGTCTACTGAGCCGGCATGTCTAACTTCAACTAATCCACGAAATTGGGCAACACATACACCATTATCATCAGTGAGTCACTATCTCACAACAGACAAGGTTGAACTCTACTGGTCACTGCTTCTCACTAGAACTCCAGGAAATACCTCTTGAAGTCAGTCACTAGTGAGCATATGTTGATTAGTATCAGAAGGAGGTTTTGTGGAGATTTTAGTAATTTCAATTGTTGAGATCACGAGTCCTGAGTTCGAATCCCGCGAGGCGGCATCGTGGATGCGCACTGCTGGGGAGTCCCACAATAGGACGAAACGGCCGTCCAGTGCTTCCAGGTTTTCCATGGTGGTGGTCTAGCTTCAATCGACTCATGATCCCAGCAAATGAAATTACTAATATCTCCACAAAACCCCCTTCTTATAAAAATCAGGTCTGAACATGGTAATGTCATGTCATTTAGATCAAGGTGATTCTAAGTGACATGTATGCAAATTTGTGTTTATGTATGTGTGCACTGTTTAACGATGAAAATTTTGTGACCTTTATGATGAGAAAGGATAGAGTTTAATTTGTAAGGTAATAGTGTGAATTGTAAATAATACCAGACTAGGTGGCTAGATAGATAGTCCAAGTAAGATGTATGGTAAAGCCTTCTTTTCTATTGAGAGAAGTAGAATTAAGCATTATATGGAACGCTTCAGCTACTCACATTTCGTTGTAATTAGAAAAGCCTTTTTGTAATATTTTGATATTTTTGAAATCGATTTGGTGGTCGTTGAAAATGGCGTGAACTGCTATTAACGATTTAATTTGAAGTTTATCCAGTTCTACGGGATTGTTAGGAGGTTTCTTTGTGTACCTATTGTGTTCTTTGGCTCGAGTCAAGATTTCACGAGATGACTCTTCAATATAGAAGGCATCACAGTCGATACAACCTGATTTGAAGACACAATTCTGTGTAGACATGAAAGAGATATTTTCTATTAAACGAACTAAAGTATTTCTAAGTGTGTTCGTTGTTTTGTAACATATTTTAATTCGGTGTTATTTTAAGATTCTTTGGAGTTCTTCTGTTGTGCCATGACGGTATGGTAAATCTGCAGTACCAATCCATGGCATTTCATTCGAATTATTATTATTATTAAAGAGAAAAAATGTATTTGTAAAATCTCAACGAATGAATTTTAAGTAAATCCAACGTTTCGCCTGGCAATCTGGTCCAAGCTTTTTCAAGGAAAATTATAATCAAACAACAAAATTATCGAATATAAATAGGTACATGGTTCTCTGGTTTACTGTATACTGAATAAAACATCCAATCAACGTGCACCCTGTTTGAAGTGGGTATTTACAAAATGTGTAAGAGACTTGTGTTGTGAAAAACGAAAAGTGTTAAGATAACAGATTGTGTGTTTACGTAAGTGATGTGTGAAGAAATTTCATTCAAATATATATAGCCCTACATATATGGGCTAATTCAAACAGTATTAATAAGAGAGATGGAATACAATTAGCTGTCCCATGGCAACTAATAATTAATAAGTAAACCTGAACTCCTTATTACATTCTATCTATCTATATCTTATTAACTAATCAATAGATAATACATTTAACGGTTTCAACTCAGTTATTGTATCTGAATATCTTAAACAATTGACGGGAACATTAAAAATAACACAAACTTTCAATTACAAATACATTCCTATTTGAATTCAGTCTGTTATCTTGTTTACTTATCTTGTTTATTTATCGTCATTTAATGCATGCTGTGACATTTTGATTCATATCATATATAAAATGATATGTTTTCTTAATATACACATACCGAAGACAACATATATTTGAATGAAATTTCTTCACACATCACTTACGTAAACACACAATCTGTTATCTTAACACTTTTCGTTTTTCACAACACAAGTCTCTTACACATTTTGTAAATACCCACTTCAAACAGGGTGCACGTTGATTGGATGTTTTATTCAGTATACAGTAAACCAGAGAACCATGTACCTATTTATATTCGATAATTTTGTTGTTTGATTATAATTTTCCTTGAAAAAGCTTGGACCAGATTGCCAGGCGAAACGTTGGATTTACTTAAAATTCATTCGCTGAGATTTTACAAATACATTTTATCTCTTTAATGTCTCACATTAACTCGGCGCCCAAATATTGTGAAACTATTCGTTCAAATTTAGACGAAAGTTCTTATTTATTATTATTATTATTACTACGCACTGAACTAATTTTTCTACTCATTGGGATATTACAAATATATTATTTAATCAGATTATCAGGTAAATTTTATCAAGTATCAAGATTAAAAACATCTTAATTTATAGCAATGTGTTCAGTTGGTGACAAATATGTAAATTTGAGCATTAAATACCATTCAGATGTATGTGTCGGAGGTGGGAGTCGAACCCACCCCCACATCGTGGACCAGAACACCTAGAAGAACATTCATGAAAGTGTTATAACTTGTGCCCTGTGTCCTATTAATGTATAACGTAATGATGCCTCCAATTAGAGAACAGAGAATTATCGACCGGACCAATGATACATAAAACCCGTACGAGCAGTCTAGAGTCCTTACCGGTCCTGCTTTCCGCTTAGCCCTGCCTATTAAGTTCAGAACACCAATCTCAGGCTCTGCAATATGAATCATATATTTCAAGCATACTGCGTTTATATACAAACCAAACAGACCGCCTCACGCCATAAATAGAAAACAATATTTGTACAAGATCAAGCCAAAAGTGGCTGTGAATGTGGGAGACTATAATTAATAGACTGGGCAGAACTCAACAGCGGTAAATCGTAGGATAATAGTCTATGGGTCAAAATAAAGCTTAAAATAAGAGGAACGTGAATATGAATATGTTAGCTGCTTAACAATTATACGATAAAAAATGTACGTATAATATTAGTCCAGAGATGGATTCCAACAGTTACTATTTATTATTCTTATCGGATATAATTAAAAGTAACATTACTTTTCGTTTATTCATAGGTTATACAAGTAGATAGTAGATGCACAGTAAAATACCAATGAGAAATGTGATTACTATGTAAGATATAAACATATATATATATATATATATATATATATATATATATATATATACATTCACGAATATTTGTTTATCGAGTTACAAAGTAAACAATACATCTAGTAATTACAATGTTTTGTTAACTATTTCTTCAAAACTTATTAAGTTCTAATAATGCCATTAAAAATACATCTTGTCAGAATGAAGGTTTGTGGAAATTTCAGTAATTTAATGGTTAAATTCATGAGTCGATCTAATCGAGACCATCGTGGAAATCCTGTAAGCACTAGGATAAAGCGCTATGACGAAATGACCGCCCAGTACTTCCAGGTTTTCCATGGTGATCTAGTTCAATTGACTCACGAATTCAACCATTAAAAATAAATCTGATGAAGTTTTGTTCTCTGAGCTGGATGATTTGACAGTGGTACTTTCATTGCTCTTCTGAACGACAGTGTTCGAATATCTGCACATATGGCTCACAGCTTGTCCTGTAGACATCGATGTTGTTAATGCAGTTACATTTTTCCTCATAATTGAATGATCGTTGAAGAATTAAATTTCTAAATTCTCAATTCTGTAAATAGAGTATCAGAAGGTTAGATGAATGGTTGGAAGTTTCAATCTCGCATTCATTTTCATGACTCATAAAAATGTGTACATGAAATACATAACCACAATACGGTACAATTTATGGCAATAAAAAATATATTATTAATATAATGCTAAGTAACAAATACGTAGATGGTTGAAACTTATAAACGGCAAAAGATAGGTTAATAGTAAGTTGGATGAAAGCTTACAATGAAAAGCAGGTATTCATGGTTTTCCAGGATTTCCGTGATGCTCTAGCTTCAATCGACTCATGATCTTAACTATCGAAATTACTATAATATCCATAAAAACCCTTCTCTGGTTATAATCATCATATTTTCACTAGTGACGGTCTCCAAGAAGTATTTCTTGGAGTTCTGGTGAGAAGCCGTGACCACTGGAGTTCAACCGGCTCTGTTGTGAGATAGTAACCCGCTGAAGACAACAATTGATCACTTGGTGGTGATCAGTGTCATATATGTCAGGTCTTTCTTAATGCACAATAAATCCTATCGACAAAGTCGTTATTATGGTTGTGCATAGACATTTAAAGTCTTACAAACTCCTGGTAGGTGTTATCTTATCAAATACTAACCATTCTCTTCATTCATATCTTTCTCCTTGTATATCTTCTGGTAGAACGAGTTGTCAATACATTAAAATTGACAGATAATTCCCATTTAAACATTAAAATTAAAACACGAAGTTCAGCGAAGGGATCTCTTTTCAACGAATTTATTATCAAGCTGTACAATCGTATATATATATAAAAACTCCATTCACGCAAGCAAAAGTACAAAAGTTCTATAATACATTACCTAGCGAATATACTATGTGACGAACAGGTTGTTAGAGTTAACCTAGTCAATAATCTGCATTCCTAACATATCTTTAATTTGGAAAGTTGTACAGTTTTTCAGACTTTTCAAATATTTTTTCCTTTCATTTTTGTCTTTGCTTTTGATTTTTGTG